TGTGGTCGGCGGGGTTATGAACAAAATAAATAAACTTGACAACGCCACCTAGGGGAATTACACCCCCAGGAAATATATTTAAGAAAAATAAAGAAAAGGAATAAAAGAAGACCGCACAGAGAGAGAGAGAGAATGAGAGAACAAACAAAACGGAAGGCGAGTAGCCCATCTGGCTACATCAGGATTACAGTGGTCTTGACTGTACTCATGTGTGTTTGTTTGCTGGTCTACAGGAGATGTTTCTGGAGATTGAGCAGAAGGTAGCCAGTTTGTCAGCTCTCAGTCAAACCGCTGACCAGCAGCACCAGCAGAGTGAACTGGGAGCTGCCGGGTCCCAGCAGGAGGCAGCTGAGCTTCTTACCACCAGGCTGGAACTCCTGAAGAACAACCTGGTGTCCTTTCAACAGATGCTACAGAACAGACAAGAAGAGGAGAGGATGAGCAGCAACAAAGGGCCCCAGGAGCAGGTACATACACTAAATCTTTGGCAAATGGCTGCATAGTTGTTTTGTATTCAGTTGTTTGGGGTGGCTGTGATTAGAAGGTTGCTGGTTAAATCTTTGGGCAAGACAACCCCAAGTTGCTCCTGATGAATTCACTGGAGTGTGAATATTTGGCAGAATTAATGGATGTATGAGGCCCTTTGAGTGCTCAGGTGGAGTAGATAAGTGCCACCAGTCCATTCACAATTTTCCTTACTCAGTTAAATTCATTCTAATGTTAAATTAACTTCACTTTTGCTCTGAAAAACTGTCCCTTTAGGTGCCTGGATAATTTCAAACTAAGATTTATCATCAAAAGCAAAGCAGCATAACGTATTATATTCTTTCAGTCTGTGTTCTTGCACGCTCTCTAGTCCTGCTTACAAACTTTAACTGAGGTTGCAGGTTTACAACTGTGCCGCTGAAAGTAACGTCACACTAGGTACTGTGTGGCAAAGTCTGCCTTTGATAATTATTAACAGCTCTGCAAATAAACTAGTGCAGGCTCACCAGCAGATCAATAGTGGCGTCCTTTCATAAGCAACACATCGCGTACATATTTGCATTTAGACTTGTTTCTTAAAGCTGCTACCTTCAAGAACTCGTACAGTTGACAGTGATACTGATAAACTCTTTAGCTTTCATTCTTGTGTGTACATTTCACCTGTTTTTCCACAGCATTTAGTTTCTCAGGCAGATTGCCAGCTTGAGTCTAAAGAGAGGCGCAGCAACAGTGTTCAAGAGATCTTCTCATCACCTAAAAACAAACTTCTCAGACAGAGCAGCCTGCAGCAGCAGAAGGTACTGATGCCATCAGCTGCTTTGATGTTAGGTTCCAGTGGTGTGGGATTTTGTGTATTTCATGTGTCTGACTGCTTTTTGTGTATTTCACCCAAATGCAAACATTCAGAACATCCTGGGGCATTAAAAATCCCTTCTACCAGCATGTTTTCACGTTTTTCTGTGACATAAGTACATAGGATCAGAGGTGGATGTCAGTATTTAATTTTGTTAATATCAATAAGTTTTTAGCTGTGGCTCTTTCTGCATACTTCAACCCCTAAGCAACCCATTGGTTAATTTTCATTACTGACACTGGATTGCCCAATCAAATCTCCCCTACATTCCCTGCCCGTCAGTGCACCCAGTGTTGCCAACTTAGCGACTTTGTCGCTATATTTAGCGAGTTTTCAGACCCCCTTAGCGACTTTTTTTCTAAAAAGCGACTAGCGACAAATCTGGCGACTTTTTCTGGTATTATTGGAGACTTATTTATGACGACTTTTTGACGTGACAGGGCGTGTTGCTCTTACTCTCAACAAGCAGCGGTGCTGCCTTGGGCACCTCACCCGTGCCAAAGCGCTCCCAGGCGGAGGATAGTCCTCCCTCAACTGCTATCAGGGCAGGAGAAGTTCACACCTGTGCGTCCAAACGGCAAATGAATCGCGCATGAGCGAAACCGCTGCTCCCGCACTGACTGTAACGCAGTTAATTCTTCTTTTAATGTTTTGCTGTTTTGTGGATCACAAGGTTTAAAACTACTTATAAACACACACTCTCACACACAAAGTAACTCCACCAGAGTGCCAATTTCGGGTCACTTTTTCCGGTCCAGGCCAGGGTAAAGATTTGTAGTTCTAAATAAATTCTAACTGCATTTAGGACGTTTTTTACTCACTTTATGTCTCTTCACGATGTTATTTCTCTCTCCAACAACATAGGTTACAATTACATTAGCATGATCAATTATGCAAATTAGATGATGGCGTCATTTGGCGACTTCTAGCGACTTTTAGGACAGCCAATAGCGATTTTCCTTACTGATGAGTTGGCAACACTGAGTGCACCTCGTAGAGGCTAAGAAAAGCCAAAAGGTGGAGCTGAAAAGCTGAGAGAAAAAGAAAGAGAAACCATGAACATACCATGATTTGAACAGTGGGAGCAAATTGTGGCAGCATCAGCCTGATAGTATTTGTATCCCACTGTATAAAGAGCTAACATCGCCAAAATTTCATTATAATAAGTGTTTGTGAGCTAAAAATCAAGAATGTGTTTACTGTTCAGCCATGATTTGCACAGCCCAGCGTGCTCCCAATGCAGGGGAAACAAATTCTGTCGGGGAGGCCTACCTTGGCACCGCCGTTGTGCAGGTGGAGCCGAAGCCAACATATGCCTCGTCATATTTTCTAGTTTTTGGTTTGGAAAGAAGTTGGTTTGGAAACATATTTGGCGACGCTTCATCCTCTGCTTTGCTTTGTGTGGGAGCCCCGTCAAAGACCTGTCCATTATGCTAGCAGTGTCCAAGCAGGTTTTTTTTTCTTTCTTTCTTTCTTTCTTTTTTTTTTACCGCACCCCCGCAATGGCTCTGTGCCCGCCACTTTGGGAACCACTGACCTAATAGCTAGCGGGAAATAATTAGAAAGGGAGAGATTCAAGTAAAATACATGGCTGCTTTGACAATAAGCCCCCGCTAATAGATGAAGTATAGCTTTTAATTTGTGTCAGTATGTGACGTGACACAGACACACAGACATTGTATCAAATATAAACAGTTAAAATTGTTAAACTTGATATTTTACTTTTGTGTAGGAGCTGGAGCACGAGCTCAGTGAACAAAGAGGACTAACTCAGGCCATCGCCAGGCATGGCAGCAGAGCGCTGCTTTACCGCCAGGAGTCCGAGGACCACAGCCAGCTCTCACTAAGGCAAAACAGCTTCTTCACTCTATTAAATTGTTCTCAAACACACATTACAGAGTTTTAGTTGTTTTAAAATATAACATACATTTACATTTTTAAATAAGATATTTTACTTATAGGACGAAGAAAAAGACTACAGTATTTTCTTAATTCAACTTCAATGTATATAGAAAGAAAGAAAGCTGGAGTGAGATGAAGTGTTAATTTTCAGCTTGTTCTCTGGCTGCAGGTCGCCTCCTGCTGCGGCTGATGAGGAGGAGGATTCGGCTCAGAAGAAGTGGGATCACCTTCACAGTCAGCTGCTGGCTTTGGAGGAGAGCTGGCTGCTTCCTCCCTCCGAGGTAAGGCCTTCATCGTGAGACTGAGGTGCTTGATTATCACATTTCAAATACAAGAGAGAAAGGGACAAATCGGTGTTCTCGCCATGCTTGATTATCACCTTCTTTGAGCAGATGCCACTTTGTTGTCTCGTTGGTGTTATGGGAACTCCTGCAGGGCATGATTAGAGTAGCGTGTGTCTCTAACTTTTCCTCTGATGTTTTTCTCCGTCTCTCTCTCTCTCTGTCTGTGTGGCTCTCTCTTTCTCTCTCTTTATGAAGGTGACAGACTCATCTGTGAAGCGTAGCAATGGAACAGCAGGATGCATGATTGCCAGAAAAAACCTGAAAGAGCTCCAGACCTGCATCAGCCATCTGAGAGAGCTGGGGCACACATCTGCAGAGCTTCTGAATCAGGTGAGGAGCCATTATATTAGGGCTGTTTGTCAGAGAGTATAGAAGCTGTTACACGAGGCCAGTTGCTGGTTTTCTTCTCAAGACTAGAGAGCCTGAGATAAAGCTGAAGGGATGTGAGATGATTAGCTTCCTAAATTTATATTCCCTTTAAAGGAAATATGTAATTTAGAATTATTTGTAACTATAACCAGTTAAATGTAATTGTATTAAATTAGCTTTCTATTAAGTTATGCAGCTTGCATTATCAGTGGCAGTATCCAATATCGCTTTCCCATAAACAGTGTATGAGAAAGAAAAGAGTTTTATGTGATCAGTAAATATGTGATGTGATCCAAAATACAACTAATAAACAAATACCAGCCACAGTTTTTACACTGTGTTCAGACTCAGTGGTGTTGATGCTGAAAATCTGAGCCCACTTTTTCTCCCCGAAAGATCAAAAATCAATAAGAAAACCAACAAAGTATAATATTGATCTTAGCACTGGGATCAGTGTCATCTTATCAAATAATTACGAGGTATAGGTAAGGCTGGACCTCATTTTGAGTTGTCACAGGACTGAAAAGTGAAACAATCTTTAACGCAGCACCAACAATATAACTGATGGATGTTTTAATGTAATAATAATAATAATAACAATAATAACTTATTCATAAGCAACTTTTAGGACACTCAAGGACACCTTACAGGCAATTAAGTATCAGAATCACAGTATGGAAAATAACAGTTGGACAACACCATAGAACTAAACGTCAATATGCATAATATTAAGAATTCTAATAAATTGAGGTCCCTGGGCTGATTCGCTTTAATATTTGATCAAGAAATTTGCTATTGTCCACTGTAAAAGACATTTAAAAAAATTATAGTAGTAAAGTAAAAGATGAAAGGAAATCAACTCAGCCTTGCATAAAACTGAAACAAATAGCCTAAAAGAAAACCTTTGTGGATGTAGGCCAAATTTTAATAAATTGTTAACATGACCCTGCTAACGGTTTTGCTCATCTTTCATACCCAGGCCTGCCCTGCTGAGGGAACCCATCAGACCGTTGATGAAGGTTTGTTTCATGTATTGCATGGAGCATCCCTGTGCCTGGACTCAATGAAAAGCATGCTGTGCTCACCTGTTCTGGTGACACATGAAGAAGAACCCCAGCTCAGGCTGCTTCACCTACAGGTGAGACGCCTCACTGCAAAGAAGCACTTAACATCAGATGTTTACGGTTGTTTTCAGTTTCAAAATTGTCATCATCAGCATTCCTGCATCTATGGCTGAAAAATCTGAGGCGTGATAGTGACTTTAATGATCCCCCTTCATTTTCTGAAGCATCAGTGTGAGGCTTGTTGTTACTTTCTGTGAGCCATTTCTGTAGACACTGACATTACCTTTAAAGGGAATTGTCATGATGTGTTTTTTTTATCCTTAACTTTTTGTGCAACCATATCAGCTTTTAACTTCACACTGCAATTTTATGGCTCAGTGTTCTTATTTCTGACATTTTATCGACCCTTTTGGGAAAAAATTATAAGTGAAATATCAATAATGCATCTTACTGTTAGTTAAAGCTTAACTAAAAGAAGGATCTTTACTATTCATTTTCCTTTTCAGAGTCTCTCAGCAGAGCTTGCCACCCTTGGCAGTGAGCTTGTTTCTCAGGGGTCAAAGGTCAGCAATGTCCCGGGGTTAAAGTGTGGTCAGCAGTGCATTGATGATCTGTGCAGACTACTTCCTGTGGTCCAGATCGCGCTGGCCAGCAGAGAGAAGCAGCTCAGGATCCTGCAGGAGGACAGTGCAGAGAAACAGGTCTGCATGTGTTTTAAAATCAGTCAGTAAATTGCTTTATTAATACTGATAAAAATAGAGAAAGTAAGAAGACATAATATCTAACTTCAATTGAGATAAGTTTTAGCTTACTTGTTATATTGGTAATTTGCTCTGTTAATAGATCAGTCGACTCTAAATTGACTGTTTATTATCAAAATCTCTACAGGTTTTAATTGTTGGTGTGTTTATTTGTCAGGCTGCTGCTCACATCCAAGAGTCTCTGCAGCAGCAGGTCGAGGCTGACCAACACAATCTGCCTGCCTCTCTCATCCACCAGGCCACACAGCTGCAGGTGTGTTAGCGAGTGTGTCAAATGTGGGCTTTAGTGTTTATACGTTTACGTAGGTCACTAAGGTGGCCCATTAAATACTGAGAGATTTGGCAAGTTTAAGAATACTCGGAAACTGAATTATTCAGATGATGCAAGAGCATTTAAATCTTCAAATTTTCTGTCCTCCTGTTGTACAGGGTGAGTTGGAGACAGTAGTGGGTGGTGTCCGTTCCCACTGTGAGGAGTTGAAGAGCGGCGTGGAATTGCAGAAGCAATATGAGCAGCTGGTCCGCAGCTTTGAGGAGCTGCTCAGTCTGGGCTCTGACAGTTTCACTCAGCAGCCTGACACAGAGCTCCGGAGCAGGGCCCAGCTCCAGAAGAAGCTAAGCAGTCATATGGTTAGTGTGGTGGAAAAAAAGAGTCCCATTGAAATAAGACAATAGATTATGTTTTTTCATGTCTACTTTTTCTTAATCAGAGGTTTTTCCAGTTCCTGGGTGATCACTTTGAAATCCTGCGGTACCTGACCAATAGAGTTTCAGATATGCCCCTAGAAAATAGGGAGGTTACAATAAAGGGTCTGCAGGACCAGGTGGCTCGACTGCAGCAGGATGGACTGGAGAAAGGGACCAAGATGCAGGAAACATTAGAGGTAGGTGCAATGTAGCTTACTTGCAAAGTGACTGTCAAGTAAAGAAAGAGAAATACAGTACATACAATAATGAAGAGAGAGATTTCATGGAAGCCACACCTTGCATCTCCCATCAAAGTGGAATGTGATTGCCGTTATACATTTTGAAAAGCACTTCCACTGGAACCTACTGACACCTCTATGCCTAAAGTTTGCCTTAATCTGTCCAGGCCACCAAAATTCCCCCAAATTCATTAACTTGTTCACTAGATGACAGATTTACACATATAGGCTATTAAAGGCACCACAAATGAGAAATGAGGATGAGGATTGATTTTAATGACATAACCATCACTGATAATCACAATGTCTGCCTCAGATGTGGTCACAATGGGAGAAGGACAGTGCATGGTCCGACTCCTTGATGAGAAGTATTGAGACATCATTTCCCAAAATCCCTGAGGGATCTGAGCAGGAATCAGAGAAGCCTCTCAGCTACAAGGTATTTTTTATTTTCTATTCCATCTACAAGGGATCATTTTTATTAATAAATGTGTTTTTTGACCATCGAATTTACTAACAGGCAGCCAACTGGAGTACAGAGCACATCAAGCAATGTTCCATTCTATCTATCTGGGCAAGCTCTATGCTGTACTTTGTGCACTGCACTCAAAACCTAATTAGATCAATTAAATACACCCTAATAGCTTGTTTCTGTAGGGGTACTGGATGCTCCTTGGCTTTGATGGGAATTTTTAGCCAAGCACAGACTTCTGACCAAATGTAATTTTGGTTCTGTTCACTGTTGTTCTGCTTCCAGACTGGCAATGCATCAGTTTTGAAATGCACCTCAGAATGGTCTATAGTCAACAAAAATATATATGTGGTAAAATAGATAAAAACATAAACATAGAGGTTGTCTTCTCCTGAATCTTTGCTCTAGTTCAGCAACCAAATCTGCATGAGATTAATAGTAACAGCTCAGCTTAAGGTCTCGTTAAAATTTTGTTTAACATCGAATGTCAGCATGTATTCAGTAGTGAGTCTCATTCATAACTTGTTACAAACTCTCTTTTGAGGTCTGTCTTTATGAAACTTGTTTGGCTTTAAAGTTGTCCTTTGTTCACTATCAGGGTTATTATCTTAGATGAAAGTGAAATTGAAAAGTAGCACAAACCTTCACCCTTAGTCTTACATACCAGTTGCATGAGAGTTAGCAAACCAGATTTATTTTAATTGTGATAAGATGATGAGTCTGAAATCTCTAATGCCCTTCTGTGACTGTAGCCAGCAGACAAAAGGTGACTTCTCACAAAGATTTTTGTATCGCTCTGAGCGTTAGCCTTTGTGTTGAGTTGAGTGAATATTCACGCATGTATGTATGAATTCATTTCATGGGTCTGTGCAGTGATATGCAAGTTCTCCTTGTCTGACTGCAGGAGCTGCATCGCATTTTGGAGGAGAATGAAGCGCGGGTCAGTCAGATGCTGGAGGGAGGCCGGCGACTGCAGAGAGCGGGTTTTAGTGGAGTGGGTGTGTCTGTCTGTAAACTGGAGGCTCGCTGGACATCTTTGCACAAGAGGCTGGAGCATGAACGCACCAACTTTGACAAAGGAAGGAAACTGAAGAGCAGGTGACTGATGAAAAGCATGAAAGTCAGGGCCGTCTGACATAGAAAGTTGGAACTTGTCCTGAACTTAGACTAGACTGCGTGTAGTTTAGTTTAAGCTCATATCATATTTTAGAAATGTTTAGTGTGGTTTATATTGAGATGAAATAATAATAAAATTGTCAATCTAAATTTAAATTTAAAATAGGGTTGCATGCAATGAAAACCCCAATATTAGATAGTAAAAGATCTTTTGGTATGAAGTTGTGTCAACTTGTTTTTAAATGTGCAACTTTTGCCCAAAAATCAGGTTTCGTCACAGCTCTGCCGCGCTGTCTCAGTGGATGAATGAGGCTAGACAACGGATCGATAGATGGAGTGAGCTCACTGTCTCATCCAATGAGGAGATGGATGTTGAACAGAGGCGTGAGCTCTACCTCCAGTCTGTGGTGAGTAAGAGTTGAAACCATTGTTTTTTAGTTATTTTAAAAAGATTTTAGTTCTAGCACTTTGACCAACTTTTGCTCATTAGCAGCTCTTCCAGAGACCACAATGAACTTATGGAGAACAGACTAACGTAAGATTTTTAATGCAGGCTTTGACCAAAGAGTTGGAGGCCAAATCTGAAGTAAAGGTGGCAGTGACCGGTTCTTCGTCCCAGCTGCTGCAGCTGAGGGAAGCACACTCAGAAAGAGATCCTGAGGATAAAGGGACTCCTCTGCCCAAGACTTCTGACATAGATATGTGCTCCATCAACACTCAGCTCAGACAGATAGAGTTGGACTGGTCCAGTCTTCTCGTTGATGTGCCTGTTATTCAACAAACTCTGCACAAGGTGAGGATCTCCCCCCATGTAGACTGTGACTTCTCTAAGTTAAACTATTCAGTGTTTTACAAAAGTTGTGCTGTTTTCTGAACACAGGCAGTTCATTTCAATATAGAACTCCAATAAAAAATATTCAGCATGCTATATTCTACATGTTTTTGTTTTTTTTTAATTTGCCACATATAGCAGTAATGCACTTCAATTAAATATTCTCCTTCCTGTATTTTGGATCTCAAGAACAGAAATAACGGTGGCTCTGAAAGGTCAAGCACACTGTAACGCAAGAAAAAAACAGTAAAGAGAAAAAGCACACAAAACAGAATGGAAGTTCAATAAAACATAACAAGAAAAAGATGCTACAAAAGCTGACCAAAAAACAAAACTCACAAAACACAAAAAAGGGTTTTGGGGGATAAAACAACATGAGGAAACAGTTGCGAATGTGACAAGTATGCAATTACATTCTTACATGAATCATGTGATTAAAATACACATTACCTGTATATTTTTATCCCTCACAACACTGGTGAACCGTTCACTTCTTTAAAGTGTGTCATAGTCAGAGTAACGCGTTACTGTAATCCGATTACTTTTTTCAAGTAACGAGTAAAGTAAGGGATTACTATTGCAAAAACGGTAATTAGATTACCGTTACTTTCCCGTAGGAACGCTGCGTTACTGCGTTACTAAAACCGTGATTTTTTTGCGAGAATGTCTCATGACAGTGACGTAAGCGAGTGCGACGTTGTGACAACAGCTGTGTGCAGATCAACAATGGATCATATATCGAGTGCGGAGAGAGTATGAGCGTGCAGCGTTTAAAGCGTGGAAGTACTGACCTTACTTTGAGTTTGATTCCATAAAAAGTGACAAAAACATTAGCGTCCGTTGTGCGTGGGAAGAAAACTTCTTTTTACAGCGAAAAAAACCCCTAAACTTCCAAGCAAGCACCGAGTGCGCAACGAGTAATGGGAAACTCACAGAGAAACTCGCGGATTCTTCCACTGACCGCGCACACCTGCACCAGGGTAAACCTCCGCCTACCCCCAGTCCTGCTTTACAGGTGAAAATAGAGCAACAGGACCGCTGAGTCTTTGACTTTATTTATTTTCTGCTGTGTTTTACTTGCATCTATTTGAAAGAGTGAGTGTAAACACAAAAAATATTTTATTTTATGTGCTGGAATGTGCAGAAAATAGGTTTAAATGTTAAACTAATTTATTCAAGTCAGAGAATGTTGCATATAATTAAATTTTTGCTTGATGCATAAAGTTAAAAGATTAAAACTAATAAAACAAGTTTTAAAAAGAGACTTTTCCATTTGATTACATTTTGTATGATGGATTATGCAGAAAAAGTAGAATTGGGCTGAAAGATCTATCGCTTTATCACCTATTCAGGTTGTAAATCGTGTTTTTTAAAAAGGAACTAAGTAACTAAGTAATTAATTACTTTTGAAAATAAGTAATCAGTAAAGTAACGGCATTACCTTTTTGGGAAGTAATCAGTAATTAGTTACTGATTACTTTTTTCAAGTAACTTGACCAACACTGGTCATAGTGCAGTTTTTGGCGACTACTGTAGCACTTTCATTAATGTCTCCTCAAAAACACCTGCATTGAGTTTTGTGAGATTTCGTTTTTTCTACTTTAATTGTTTTCAGTTTTATTTTCAGTGTTTTTGCAACATTTTTGTTCTATTTGCTGTTCTTTTCTTACATTGCAGTGCATTTGACCTCTCAGAGCCACCGTAGAAACTCCTAGAAATACACATCCAACAGGATCGGTCACCTCTTATATGCAGTCTTGTAACTGTGCTCTCTTTATAAATGCAGACAGTGCAACGTGGTCCAATAGATTAGTACATCTGACCCCAGATCTCCCTGAAGGGTGTTGGAGCGATGGAGTTTCTTAAATGCTGAATATTGTAATACACAAACTATGTGCCAGACACCCTCTTATCTGTGGATGTATTTAAATGTCAGAAGTTATACTTCCACAGAACCTTTCTGGCTTTAGCTCGACAAAGTTTGGTGCAGTTTTGCTGCCACCAATTATAATCATCCATCTTGAGGGCTCTTCTCACCTCTCTTCTCTTTTTGGTGTGAAACCACCTATGAACCTCTCTGTGTCTGACTTTTTTTTTTCTTTTCTGCTTGTCTGTCTTTTGCTCCTCTCTCCTCTTTCAGTCTTGTTCATCCACTCTTTTTCTTCTTTACTTTCCCACCTCCCACCTCCACTCGTCTCAGCTCTACCCCCTTCCTTGTTCTCTTTCTGAAATCCTCATTTCCTCTGCCTCTGTTCACTTTGTGGTCAGCTCCTGTCATTTGTAAGTCTTCTGTCCCCCCTACTTCAAGATTTTCACTCACTTCCTTTTAAACCTGGACTGTCTTTGCTAATAGCACCATTGTGGATTAACTGAAAGCTTATAAATGAAAACAATTTATTAAAGGCCATTAAACAATGACAACAGTATGCAATGGTTTTTTTAAATTAATTTATTTTTTGGACTTCATTGCAGCGATGGTTAGAGATGCAGACACAGCAGGGGGCGCTGCTGGAGTTGCAGGCCTGGCTCGGAGCAGCTGAGTGTCAGTTGGAGGAGTACTGCAACAAAATCAACAAAAACTCCTGCACCAACAATGATCTCGCCCAGTTCCTGAAATACTTCAAGGTAGAATGGATGGTGGTGGTTGTGGTGCGGGCTTACATGTTTGTATTAATTATGCTGTTTCAGTGGGATAGTGGAGTATTATTAGCGCTGATCTGATCTGATCAAGAGACGTTTGTTGGTTTACTTGTGTTCATGGCATATTTCTCAGGAGTCTCAGACAGAGATGTGTGCACATCAGATTACAGTGGACTACGTGAACCAGCCATTACAGTCAAATAGTACTGAGAAGGACCACAGGTTGCGCTACGAACAAAACCAGTATGCAGATGAACAGGGTCGCCTCAACCATCAGTGGCTCAGCTTGCAGGAAAAAATCAACTCTAAGGTAAGTTTGAAAGGTCCTGCCTATAAATCTTCCTACATCACACACTGTTGATCATTAGAGGAGATGTTTGTAATTTGTTGACAACGTGTGGGGTGTTCAGATTCAGGAGGTTGAACAGGAGTTGAGGAACAGAGTAGAGTGTGATGCCCGACTGCAGCGGATCAACAGCTGGATCGCGGTTCAAAACCTCTGGATGGACTCGGCTCAGACACCCAGCAGCCAGACGGAGCTACAGAGGAGCATCAGCGTCTGCCAGGTCTGTGTTCTAACATCTGCGTGAACAGTCAGCGTGTCTGTCATCATTTCAACATTTCAGATTTGATGTTTCAGCCGTGATGAGCAATTTTCACGTCAAGTCATTTGCAAAGAAATACTCAGAGATACACGTCCACACAAGGGAAGTAAATCAACACAGGTTTTAGATTCTGCTTTTATCTCAGGATCTTGAGGAGAAGATTATGCAGAAGTCTGCAGCTCTTCAGGAGCTGATAGACAAAGTTTGTGGCAGACAAGAAAACAGGAGCTGCAATTTAATCTGTCAAATCGATAAATCCATCGAGACCTGCGCAGCTCTCACACAGAGGGTAAGTAACACAAGGACAGTTCAGAGGATAACTGCCTCTGACTTAAAAGTTTTATGTCAGGTATTTGTCTGCTCCTGGGTGTCTTTAGATTATCTTATCTTTTACAGAACGACTCAGTAAAACAGAGGCTAACTCAGGCTCAGCTGTTATGGAGCAACATGGAGGAGAAGCTGAGTCACATGGTGCTGAAAACAGTGAGAGCATCTCAGACTCTGAAGTATTACAGCGGCCCCCGGCTCTCCCTGCAGGCACTCACAGATCTCCATGAAAAGCTGCAGGTATTTTACCCATACTAGCTCGATCACTTGTAGATGTTTAAACTCACCACTTTTTCTGGATTCTTTGTCTGCAGTAGATATGTTTAATAAGGAGAATTTGGTCACTGGAACTGTGAGCTTCTGGACACTCAAAACATATTGCTTATTAAGACAGTGGTTAGCACTGGGTCCTGGATTCTAATCCAACATCCACCAGTGTGGAGTTTGCATGTTCTCCCTGTGTTTGCGTGGTTTCTCTCCGGGTACTCTAGCTTCCTCCCACAGTCCAAAGACATGCAATTAGTGGGGTTGGGTTAACTAGTGATTCCAAATTGCCCATAGGTGCTGTGTTGGCACTGTAAGAGACTGGCAACCTGTCCAGAGTATACCCTGGCTCTTGCCCCATGGCAGCTGGGATAAGCTCCTATGACCCTGAGTTGGATATGTTTGGATTTTGTTTTTGACTGATGGCTGTTTTGTTGTATTGGATGCAGCTTCTTCAACAGGAGACAGAAGCCTCAGAGGTAGAGTGGGACAAACTTGGTCAGAACATCCTCTCTCTCAGAGATACCATCAGTCCTGCTGCTGCTGCCATCATCAGCAAATGTCTGGACAGGCAGAGAGACAGGTGAGACAAACACGCATGCACATACACCTGCACACAGGCACATCCACATGTGGAAACTCTGTGGAAAAATATGATCTTTTGTTGTTGTTTTTTGTTTTGTTTTTTCCAGTTGGACTATAGTGACTGGAGCTCTGGGCCAGCAGCTCCAGAGATGTCAGAAGGTCCTGACTGTGTGGCAGGTTTATGATAAGTGTGCTGGGTCTCTGGCAGAGCGACTGCAGGCACTACAGAGTGATGCCACATCTGTGCTGAGCAGCACACCTGGACAGGACAACACAGTGAAGCTGTTCACTGTCAAGATAGAAAATGTTCAGGTGAGATAATCAATTAAAAGAATGTCTTATTTCATATCAGGGTCCAGCAGTTTGTAACAGGCATTTAAAAATTCACCATCTGACACCAAACATAATAAAAATAATAATAATAATAATAGAAACTCTCCAATCATTTGCCACCCCCTTTGCTTCAGAGTTTCTTGCAGAGGACAGACACCTTGCAGTCTGACCTGGAGGTGGTGCTGAAAGCCTCCAAGGACTTGATTAGCCACCTGGAACCTTCAGCCGCCAGTCTGGTCCAATCAGAGTGCCGCTTGTTGCCACGTGGTGTCCTGCAGCTCAGACAGCAGCTGTCTAAGAACCTGGGTCACCTGCAGGTAAAACCTCATGAATGAAAGAGTCTGTGGGATTTGGTGAAGTCAGACTGGATTTATTGCTTATTATTCATTTTCACTTAAAAACTGCTTACACTGAACCGATCACATATCAAGTACAAACTTTTGTTTAAGGTTAAACCAGTGAGCCTGGTTATTTGGGTAAACCTGCAGGAATCTTTGAATGAAAACACTGCCAATCGTTCAATGTGCACAAACCTAAACTTTTTAAAGTATTTTACTACAACCCGTTGCTTGTTTTGTTGCTGCCACTGCTATTCCTCACCTGACACCTGACTCCAGAAAGCGTCACAGTGACCTATAAATTAAGACACATATGGCCATGTGCCATGTTTGTGTGTAGGAGGAGCTTAAGCAGGTGCAGGAGTTTGAAAATGAGATGGAGTCACTGGAGAGGAATCTGGAGGTCTGGCAGCAGCGCCTGGAGGATCCAGCTCTGAAGGTAGACCAGGTGAGACAGCGTGAAGATTTTATGAATGACTGCTGTGCTGCGTGTTGAGCTCTCTGTTGTTTTCCCCAAAGTAAACTGTTCATTAAGAGACTTTTATGCTACAATAGAAATGTGTGTTTTCTTAAAGAGAGTCCAGCTTCATTTTCTTGAGTCTTGTATGTAGTGAAAAATTATTTATTTAAAAGCTGTAAAAAGAAAATGAGCTCGTACAGTCCAGTTGAGCTGTAGGTGCATTTACAGTGCTGAACAACTATGTAGTGCTGAAAACGTTTGGGTGACATTGTTTACACAAAGAGAAGATTTCGACAGCTGTAACTCTTAAATGTTAAGACTTAAGCAGAAATATGAGTGTCAAATATTTAGTAGTGTAAGGGTGTAAAAGTATGCTTTGTCTCTGCCTGACTTTATACCTCTGAATGGAAAGTTAATGTACAGGAGCAGATGTTATACAACAGTGAGAGAATATGAAGAAGCAGGAAGCCGCCCTGTGGCGGTAAATAAATGAGGACAGAGGAACATAGAGCATGACTGCAGCGTGTAATCTTAGACCGTCCTGAGCTGTGATGCCGTGCGTGAGGTAGTCCAGACTGTTGTGATCCCTCCTGAGTCTCTGACGCCACCATATGTTTCCAGTCTGGCCTCATGGAGCTGAGCGGCCTGTCTGCTGACCTCGATGTGCTCAACGAGCGGAGCTGCAGTCTGACGCTAGAGGACGCTGCGGCACACCGCCTGCAATTCCTCAACCGCCGCTGGGCCGATGCCTCCGCCAGAGCTGAAGAGGCCTGCAGGTCAGTGAGGAAACACGAGGAGTAGGGAACTAATACCTGAGCAGCCATCACAGTTTTCCTGTCTTCCAGTAAATTTCCCCTGTTTTAAGTAAATAAAAAACAAAAAGATATTTAGTTCGCAGTTTTAAAAAAGAGAGAAAACAATCAAACGTAATTGTGTAAAAGGCAGTGAATGAACCGAACACAAATTAGGGTTGATCACTAAATGGATACATTTGTTTGGCAGCCTTGCCTCAAAGGGCATTTCACAGAACGTTTGCAGACAACTGTTTTTATAAATCCGCTCAAATCTGTAGAAGGCCGTTTTTTTTTTTAAACTTTACTTTCGAATTACGGGCTTTTTGACGTTAAAAAACGTTAAAAATATACTTTTCATAAAGTAACATGTTGCAGAACATTTTTCACCTGCTGTTCTGTTTTGTGTACAGTGAGCTGCAGACGGAAGTGCTGAGGCAGCAGAGATTTGAGCAGAAGTGTGAAAGCTGGATGTCGTTCCTGCAGAGGATGGAGGACAGCCTGGCTGTAGACGTAGCGGGATCGTACGACGGCCTCAGACAGCAGCTCTGTACTCACAAGGTATCAAACCTGATTAGCAGTCTTACTGACGCATCTAAACTTGAACTACACACTTCTAATCATTCATATGTCTCTGTGATTCAGCACTTTCAGGCTGAGCTCTCCATTGGTCACCAGATCCTTCACTCAGTCATCACTGATGCTCTTCATCTGCTGCAGAAAGGAGAGGTGGAGGGCAGGTGAGAAGATCAAACAGCATCCCTCTGCCCATCTGAGTCCAGGATGTGTGAAATATGTTGCCACCTTTGAAATGAACTGACATGAAATTTAATAGTTATATTGATGAAGATGAAATCCTAAAAGCTTTGGTGATTACCTGACTGTTCACTGACCGTTCACTAGCATCACCACCAGGTTCCATGCTTCGTATAGGTTTCTGCTCTAATTCTGATCCTGGTTTTAAAAAAATCTAGCTTGATTGGTACAAATGGCCTCAGAAAACAATGAATCATTCTGTTTGTTTAGACAGTCAGTGTTTCATTTTGAAATTTAAGTACAACTTAATATTTTGATGGATCCAGGAGCGACTTCATCCTAAAGCTGGCCCAGCTCAGAGAGCAGTGGCAGGGAGCAGTACAGCGGGCTGACCAGCGACGTTCTTTGGTGGAGGGGTTGGTGAAGCACTGGCACCTGTACAGCCGCAGCCTGAGAAAGCTCCAGAGGTTCCTTGCGGACACGCAGACCCTGCTCCCCTCAGCTGGACTAACCTGCTGTAGCCTGCAGCAGCTCCGACGCTCCCTCCACGACCTGCAGGTGGGATCTGTTTTCGAATTGATTTTGAAATCACTTGAAAGGGTCATAAAACTGATTGAATTAAACACTCACTGCAAGCTGATGAATGAAATTATAATATCGATCTGTTAAGAGGACTGATCTTTGTGGGAGTCTTTTACACTTGCTGAAAATCATTGTTTGTTCACGTTATCTTTGCCACTCACGCACAGACGGCTGCTTAAAGATATGAACACTGAGGGAAAATTGGTGCTGATTGCGTTTACAGCAAAGGGAAAATGAAACGATTGTAAAGTTTCCAATCTTTGTTATGTTGGGCTGTCATGAAGGAAGACTGATGAGATTTGAATTGAATGTGGATGAAGATAAGACTTTGACCTATTGTAAGCTGCCCCTTTAACAAAAAGAAGAGGGAAGCCCCACAGAGCCCCCGGCTGACTACATCCCCAATGAATCACTGCTGAATAGCTTCCTTCGCTTCATTTTTCCTCCACACTCCTTTCTATGTTTTATCTCCTGCACTGTCATCCTCAGCACAAAGAGCTGTTGTTCCAGAGGTATCAGAGCAGTTTCATCAACACTCTGGAGGTTGGCCGTCAGCTGTTCTCCATGGGGGACGAGGAGACCCAGACTCAGCTTCAGACAGATCTGGGGACACTGCAGGAGGAGTGGGACAATCTCCACAGTTTGCTGTTCAAAAGACTGGAGCTCACCGAGGCTATAATCAAGGTAATCATTGTGACTATTATGTTCTGATTTAACGGGTTACTTTTAGGAACTTTTTAGCTGGTACACAGTGAGACAAGTTTAAACTCAGTCTAAAACTTTGCAGTGTATCTGTGCTTGTGTGTTTGTATTTTCTGTATTTTGACTTAAATTTATCTTGAACTCTTCTTCTTATTCATGTGACTTCTTAAATGCAAGCACAGTAATGTCAATATATTTGTATCCTGGCCTGTTTGTCAAATAAAAACACAGAGTATTGTTAAAATACTGAAAGTACCGAACAAAGATTTAAATATGTCATATTTGACCTCTGACCTCGCCTTCAAACGGTAGATTGGTTAGAAGGTCAAAGCGATAATAATCATATATAGAGCTATTTCTTAAAATTATGTTTCTTCCTGCCATTCTGTATATATACATATATATAGGCATATAGGTAATGATGTATAGCGACACTAAATATTACTAAAATTACTTTATTATAATAATAACATTAAAGTAACAGGTTATAACTGTTTACATACATAAAAAATTGAATACCTGTACAATGTTCCTGAATATGTTTTTAATATTTTAAAAACAAAATAAAATTGTGATCAAAAACTTTTTTCACTTGATATAGATTACTAAAAATGTTAATGAATTTACTAGACAATGAAATGACTGCTATGCATGCACTGTATTCACATCAATAAAAAATAAGTGAACTCAAAATTACGTCGAGGATATTAAAATGGGTTTCAACAGGGCAAATAGCGAAAGCCTGAACTTTGCCCTTGTTTTTGTTGCACTAAAACCATCTTAAAGTAAGTTTAAAACAAAGGAAATGCACACAAACCACAACACTTTTCCAATAAAAGTAAATACTGCCCAGAGAGTGATCCACTTCTTGTTTTTTACTGTTAGTGTCAGCTCCAGTAAAATGTCCCGTTTGAGATTTTTAGACTAAACGGTTCCTTTATTTTGGACGGTAATTAATCGGTAAAAAAAATGTATTGATGCTTTGTTTTGAATGGGCTCCAGTTTAAAACAGCAGTAAACAGTTTTCAGCCGTGCATATTGTGTCTTTGTCTTTTCATGTTATCATATCTGAGTATTTGGCTTTTAAATTGTTATCACCACAGTAGATGAGTCTTTTGTGCTACCCTTACCCTCCAGTCAATGGATGGTCAGATTACACCGGATATACAGAATCAATGAAATTTAAGGCCGTGTCAGGGAGTGAGAGTGAATCCCCTGAGGAAGTTACATCAGCCTCAGCCTCGGTGTGGACTGAAAACATCGCTCTTAGATTTAGGCCTTAGTTGTTTTTACAGCACATGCCGTATAGTAGTTCAGCCGCTTTGTAAATCTGCTACTTTCTCAGTGTCTCATTTTCTTTGCCTTGTATCATCAGTGGGTAAATATGATGTGGAAGTCTATAAGATGAGTTGAGTTTTTGTTTATTGAGCCTGGACAAAGACACATAGATCCTCTACTTGTCTCCCATAGCGTCTGACACATTCTCATGGCCTGAGAGCAGGAAAGTTAATCCAATCTGTCGTGATTAATGACTGCAAGCATGTTTAGGAAGTAAAAGACAAAGGAGTGTGATGGGTTGTTGTTCAATCAGCTTTGTAAGATCCTATCACATTGATCTGCATGATTAACCTATTTTAAAAAATACATTTTGATTGTGTTAGAACTGGGAGCGCTGCGAGACTGGGCTAACAGATAGCATGCTGCAGCTTAAAGACATGAAGACCCGGCTGAACCAGACCATGCCAGAGTGTGATGACGACCTGGAGAGTGCAAAGCTCTACAAGGTACATCTCCAAATAACTAATCACAAAAGCACAGGAGGTGCATTTCTTGCTTCACTTTTTTAGCGGAAACTCCAGCAGAAAAATAATTTCGGCCTAATAATGAACTCTGAGCTGGGCGTGCTTTTGTTTAACTGTTGAGACTGAACCACAGTATAGTCCTGTTAAAAAGGAATATCCTTCGACGGAGACATACATTTATTTGTGTTCCTATTAACAAGAACTAGGATTTTTTTTTAAAACAAAACAAGGGGGTGAGTTTTGATTGTCAGCTTATTGCAATTAGTACAGAGAGTTAATTATCTAATTTATAAAATAACTGACAGCCAGGCCGCTCTGACAGTAAGGACATATTATCAGATAAAAGGTTCTTCATTTGGAGAAACACATATATTTGTTCTGTTTGTTATATCTGTTTTGTTTTTTCAAAGGTCTATCTTGTCCTTACTAAGAAATGAATATATGTGATTCTCAATGTGTCAGATTATTCTTTCATGCATTGTCTTTTCTCTTCAGCAGTTTTTTTTTTTTTGTTTTGTTTTTTTTTTTTATGCATGTACTCCAAGTTCATATTCACATTCTGCATGTTAGTGTTAGCAGCCTGTAGGTGTCACAGTAGGTGGTGAAGGGCTAATAAATATCTGTTTAAAATACTGACATGTAAACATCAGAACGTGGATCTACAACAAGTTCTCAGACTGTTTGGCCCAGGAGACCAAAGTCAAGTTTGAAATAGTTTTGGCTCAAAGCTCATCCCCTCTGACCCATCAAAGCCTTTATCCCCAACCCCTACCTTCCCCCTGCAGAGTCACCCCTCCCCCAGCCCAGCTTGCAGCCTGTGGCCTTTAATCCTCTCTCGCTGGGCGGGGAGAAATAGAGAGAAAAGGGTGATAGAGATAGAGGGAGAAAGAAAAAGGGGCTGGAGGTCCAGAGCGAGAGGACAGTAGGGACTAGCTGTGAGAGAGTGAGTGCAGAGGGCGAGGAGGGGGGAGTCCTGACAGTTTGTTGTGGTGATCGCTGTGTTATGGTATGCAGAAGAACAAGATCTCCCTGGAGGACTGGGCTGAGAGCCTGACGGAGCTGAGCAGCATGAAGACGGATCTGTCCCAGTACATCATTGCAGACGATGTCCTGCTGCTGCAGGAGCAGGTGGAGCACCTGCACTGCCAGTGGGAGGAACTCTGCTTCAAGGTTAGTGTGCGCAGGCTCAAACATGACTCCTGTCTGACTCTGGAATCAGAGCAGACTTATCCTTAAAAATTCTCATGATTGTTCTATTCCTGGTGCATTTGCCTTGCTAAAGCTGCTTCACCAGTATCCTGAATTCTTTTTTTTATATTGCTGTTTCCCCCGTTTGATTCTTACTTTCTAAAACTCAAACAGTCAAATCTCTTAGGGAATTTTTTTTAAAGCATTGCTGATACAGAGATTGATATGAAGCATAATGAGACCAGAAACACTCATCAGAATTGTTTGGATTTTGGTCCGCAGTCTAAAAAACTGTCATGGTTTAAAGGGACAAAGTATCTTCAAACCATTGCAGGATGAAGTTGCAGGGTGAGGAATAGTCTGTCAGGAAGCTCAAGGGTTAAATACAGCAACTAAATTTTCTTTATTTGGACAAAAGTTGTTTTATTTGTTTGTTTTTTGGGGGGTTTCATTTTGAAAGAGCACCTAAAAGTTATCTGACTTGATTAGCAGCAGCTCTCACATCTGCAGTACATTGTATGTGCTGTGATATGGTTTAATCAGCATTCTGAGTTCACCACATTCATTTATTGTTTCTGTTGAAAGTCTGAGCCATTAGAGAGGAGTTAAGTTAGTAAATCTCAGTAATACTTTAAGGGGCAACTAAAAGGACCAACACGTCTGGGAGGCGGGGCTGTGAAGGGAGCATTGTGATAACGGGGAACAGATGGTGACGAGAAAGAAATGTTGCAAAGAGCTAAGAGGTTTCAGGAAGAAGAGCTTTTGCATTAAAATGAATTTGGGGGAGGGGAAGGTGATCGCAAGGATGGGCACTTCTGACTGTGTGGAGGCTTCTTCATTCACGAATGTTTATTAAAAGTGAAACATTTTACCTGAGACACATTTACAGGTAAAGTATGAAAATTGCCTAAAGATTGCCTAAAATACTCTCAGTAACATTTCCCTATCAGCTTTGTCAGTGTGTTTTTAAACAGGCCTTGTAAGTATGTTTGGAATGAATGAATGATTTTCTCCAAATACAAAATGAAGTGTTCATGCCCACTGCGTGAAAAAAAAGGGAGCTTTGTCCTCCAAGTGAGTCTGAGTAATCTATTACAGAGCAGTTAGCCTGTTTTGGCTTGGCACACATCTGTGACAGAAAAGTATAAAGATTTAACACCAAAGAAACATCTAGGATGAAAGCTGGCAAAGTCAAGCATCCTATATCATCTCCCATGTTTAGATAAGGCTGTGCATGTGTTTCTCAGGTGTGCATATTAGCTTAATATGTTGATGCTTAATGATAATCTGGAGGATACCCAGACTTTATAGGATGTCACCATTTGTGCCTGATTATTATTGTTTTTAAAGGTCTGAGTGTAAATCATTTGGAAAAAAATCACGATGAAGTCACCAGCACCAGGGTCCGCCTGAGTTAAATTCTATATTCATTCCAAGCTAAAGTGAATAACAACCCAATCAGCACAAATCAGCTTACAATGCATCTGCACCCATAATGATAAGATAGATTAGACAGCTACAGTACCACTAAGCATCTTACAGTGATGATACTTATTTAATTTCTGTCCCCCAATCCGCTTTGTGTCTCAGGTGTCCCTGCGTAAACAGGAGATCGCAGACCGCCTGAACGCCTGGATCATCTTCAATGAGAAGAACAAGGAGCTGTGTGAGTGGCTGACACAAATGGAGAACAAGGTGGCGCACAACTCTGATCTCAACATCGAGGAAATGGTCGAGAAACTCAAGAAGGTAAGTGTTCTAACTAGGATGTATATTGGTAACGATATAGTTACAGTGACAGGAAGACCGAATTAAGTAGTGAAATACATAAAACCACCAAACGGTTTCTGAGCACAGCTGCAAGGGTCGCTGCTGAGTACTTCCACAACTTAAACTGTTGTCTGCAAGAGAATTAATTAAAACTTTACATTGTTAAATAAGATTTCTTACTGCCATCGTCTCAAGCTTCACTTGCTGTTAGGGAAGCAGAGTGTTGTAGTTGTTTTTTTGGACACTTCATGCTTAATCACAGTAGCCAAAGCAACAGCAATCAGGCAGTCTAACTGGCACTGTCTAATACCAGATACTTTCTGTTGTTTCACTGCTGTGCTGATGAGATCATCAGTAAGGCTTTCAAGCCATTCAAGCCCACAAAAGTACTTCTAGTAGTAGGATAACAGTCATAGAATCACTCTTTACCCCTCACAGCTGTAAAACAAAGGAATGCACTCATATATTAATGTGTGTGATTTTTCATTCAGCGTTAAAAGTTTCCTTTTGCATTTCGTTTGTGGCACCACTGCCGTCTGTGCTGCTTTGTATCAGGATGTGTTACGTTGTGTGGTGCACTGTCTGGGCTTTTCAAAAAGCTGTGAATTCCCTCCTGATTGTTAAAGAGATGACAGCTGTTTCTGGCCCAGCAGGGCCACGCGGGTGTGTTTTGTGTTGATCTCACGGCCTCTTTTATTTGGTGCTATGGGAGTGACGGTGATGGAGGGTGAAGGGGGTGGGTAGAGGTTAGTAAAGGTGAATGCTGAAACTCAGTTATTGCTGTCGTGAGGGTTTCAAACCTTTACAGCTCCTCTGGCATTAAAATTGAGCGTTTGGCCCTGAGATACAGACTCCTGGCACGCAAATTCAAACTAAATTCAAAGCTTTTAAGACTTAAAGAATGCTGGTGCACCAGGAATTTACATGCTCACGTGTAGTACATCATTCTGTCTTTTTACTTGGATTTCTCAATCAGGACTGTATGGAGGAGATCAACCTGTTCAGTGAGAATAAAACCCACCTAAAGCAGCTTGGAGAGCAGCTCATCACAGCCAGCAACAAGACAAAGGAAACAGAGATCAATGACAAGCTGAAGGACGTCAACGACCGCTGGCAACATCTGTTTGATCACATAGAGGCCAGGTAGGAAGCAAGAAGGCATAAAAATGTGCAAAGAAATGTTGCTAGAGATGTTGGAGATTAATTTTATATGAATGAATTTGTGAGTTTATACGTTTTATTGTTGAGTAAGGGTGCTGGTGTTGTAGTGCTTAGTTATATAACAAAGTTCGACTCCCAGTCCAACACTTTGTTTAAACTTATATTGACAACTTTGACGCAAGTGCCTAACAGTTTATGCTAAATGTTTTTTTACATCACTCTTTGATCGTCTTAGGTATCATTCAGCCGTTAGCAGTGGGGTTGCCTGCTTATTAAGAGTAGCACAAAAACTGCATATAAAAAATTGACCTAGCCACTGTGATGTCATATTTTGGCCTCGGTGTTAGCGTTCTGGCTGCAGTCATGTTCTTTTTTTTTTTTTTAAGCCAAATGCAGCTGTAATTGGAGTTATCAGAGAATACTAGCAAGTTTGGTTAGAAAGCTTTATATAGAAAGCGTAGCAACGCTTAGCCATACACTACATTTTGTTACAAAACTGAAGCAAAAACTTGTTGGATGTCATCTACCAACAGCGGGTTATAATATTTGTCAGCTTGTTTTATCAAAATGTTCCAAAAGGTAACAGCACAAACATGTTGGAGAAAGGGGGAATGATGGAGACCAAAAGCATTTTTCCAACTAGGCCGTAAACATCCTTTTTAATGTTGTAAAGTTAACATGGGAGTGTCTCATTTTCTGGAACTAGCCTCAAGTTGCCATTTGATGAACTGCACAGTATTTCCACATTGGCTTCATTTTGTTTGGCATAATAGCAATCCCTCCACACAGCTTAGTGTGACAGTCCCATCAATCTAATAATGCTGAAAGTCTGATAAAGTATTGCTGGGCTTGACAAGCTAACAGTGGGATATCCTGAAGGAACAATAAAACCTTTAGATTGCACTTTTTATATTATTTTTACTCTTCTGATATTCTGACATGATGCCATCACTCTTTTCTCTTATGGGAAATCTTACTGGATGTCTTTATGACTGTGTGCAGTATGACTGTTGATCCAAAGCTACAAGAGCAGCCCTGAAATGTGACTTGATTTGGAGAGAGAATGCAGTTATTTTCGTTCACATTATGAAGACATGCAGTTAGTGGGGTTAGGCTAATGATCCCAAATTCCCCTTCGACCATCAGGTGTGAATGTTTGTCTGTCTCTCTGTGTTAGCCATGTGACAGACTGGTGGCCTGTCTAGACTATGCTCCACCTCTCATTCTATGGTGACCCTGAACTGGATAAGTAAAAGAAAATGAATGGATGTATTAAATATTGGCTTCTGAAGTGGTTTGTATTTAGATTATCGCTACTTAACAAGTGGTTTTCGCAGCTTAAGAATACAATCTGCTGATTATTCCTTTAGTCATCATGCTTCTTTGAATCCTGACCCCTTAGTGTTTACTGCTGCAGTTCAGCACATGCAGCTTTATCTGTGCACTGTTGGACTGGGCACAGCACAGCTGTTATTCTACTGTGGCTGCAGATTAAAGTTGGTGAAGCAGAGGATAGACTCATATTATTATTAATCTATAAATTCACATTGCATCCCAACACAGAGAAGATTGATAGCTGCATGCAGGGGGGTGCTGAAATGTTTCCACAGTTTATGGTTCCAGACAGAAAAGTTGACAATCAAACTTTAAAAGTGAAAAAGTAGCTGGATAAAGACAGAAGAGAGAGCTTGAGCTACACTAAAGGACGAGCTGTGCCTGTCCAAGCTGAAAATGGGCAGAAGGTGGGCTACGTTCTGGGCAAGTCACCAGTATTTACCTCGTCACCTGTCACCAGTATTTACCAGTAGGGTTTTTTGTACTCATCTTTCATTATTAAAAACGAAACACATAAGCTGATGTATATATCTGAAAACTATAAATTACATCTCAGAAATTCCCAATTATTTTTATGGTATTTTGCAATGGATGAAGCGAAATAATTAACTTTGCAGTTTTTGGATTCTGCAGAATTCAATTCAATTCAATTTTATTAATATAGCGCCAAATCACAACAAAAGTCGCCTCAAGGCGCTTCATAGATACAGAGAAAAACCCAACAATCATATGACCCCCTATGAGCAAGCACTTTGGCGACAGTGGGAAGGAAAAACTCCCTTTTAACAGGAAGAAACCTCCGGCAGAACCAGGCTCAGGGAGGGGCGGGGCCATCTGCTGCGACCGGTTGGGGTGAGAGAAGGAAGACAGGATAAAGACATGCTGTGGAAGAGAGACAGAGATTAATAACAGATATGATTCAATGCAGAAAGGTGACTGGAAAGGAAAAACTCAATGCATCATGGGAATCCCCCAGCAGCCTACGTCTATTGCAGCATAACTAAGGGAGGATTCAGGGTCACCTGGTCCAGCCCTAACTATATGCTTTAGCAAAAAGGAAAGTTTTAAGCCTAATCTTAAAAGTAGAGATAGTGTCTGTCTCCCGAATCCAAACTGGAAGCTGGTTCCACAGAAGAAGAAGAAACACAAGTCTAAAAGGTTACACACTTGGATACTCCAGTGTCAGAATGTTTTCATCTAAGAGCAACTTTTGAGTTCACTATTTAGCTGATAGCAACACGAGTCTTTATATTTATGTATGTGGTGAGCCTGGAGATAATTATGTGTTCTTTCCACTCAGAAACAAGCGGCGTGCATTAGTGGAGGGTTTTTGACCTTTCTTGTTCTCTACTAGTCACTTTCCCGTAGTCAAACGGTGCAGTAGTTATTACCAGCTATGGCCTTGCTGTACAGCAGAATGGATGCAGGTTGGTGGAGTGCACAGCAATTATCAGTACATTTGCACCAAACAACAGGAAAGCAGGTTTAAACCAATGATTGAATGCTGCTGCACATAATTACCAGTCTAGTGATGGCGAAAGAACTGATTTTTTTCATAAAATGCACCAAGCGAATCAGAGCTAACTAAACTTTTTAAACCCAGATGACCCCATTTTTAAACCCAGGTTGCTGTGTAGTTAACATGGTTGCACTCTTTACCTTCATCTTATTCACATTTTAATAATATGAATTTAATATAAATGCAGTGATCCTTAATTCTTCATTATCCACTTAAGAAGCTGTTGACTGAAGCTTTTTTCCCCCCATTTAGTTTGAAGCACTTTCGCATAATCAAGTGGGGTAGAAAATCACCGTGTTTCCGTTTCACAAGGGAAGCAAAATTTATATGTGGTTGATTGCTGCTTTTGTGAGTTGGAGGGTATTTAAATGAAAACCTTTCAACTTTGCCACATCTACCCAGGGCGATTTTTGAGGGGCAGTTAACAATGAGTGGCATCCTATCGATTTGTAGTGTTTATATGTGTGTGAACACGGCGCCAGGTACCAGGCTTCTCCTAGTGTGGTTTGTGTTTTAAGTAGGAAAAACAAACGCAATTAAGAAAGGGGAAATTTAAAGGGTACCTTCCGTGCTTGACCATCTGTGAATGGAGAGCTTTCAGGAAAGTTCAGCTTGCAAAGTGATGAATGTTAAAATTAAAGAAAACATTTATACATTTAATTCTACAACTTGGCCTGAGAGAGACTGCACTAAATCCATCTATGTTGTTCATTTAGGGACAAGGGTCTTTATCATGACTGTCAGGCTGTTAGTACAGAGACATACCCTCTTCCACTAACAACAGAATGGAGACTAGAGTTGAGAGGGAGCATCACACACAATAGTGGATTTGCCCTCACTGGTCTCCCCCCCTTAAGTGACTGACCAGCATAACATTGCTAAGCCTGCTAATGAGCCATTAGTGAGGAAACTGTGCAGTTGTCATATTCCAACTTTTTATTTCAAGTTTTTGAAAATGTTTGTGTGACACTAGTTACAATTGTTAAAATCTGTACTGGTATCAAAGCTGGGTGAAGTCTGGGTGAAGGTCTCAGTGCAGACCAGTTCTGGCACACCAAAACAGACAAACTGTATACTATTGTCTATCAAAATTTACTATCACTAGCACTAATGCACCCATAGTTAGGTGGAGTAGTTTAAGATTCTTGTTATTCATGTTATCATATCTGCTGCCAAAACCTTTGTAGGATTTGAGGCTGAGGACGAATTGCTGTGAACTGTAATAAGGGGTAAAACCTTTCTATGCAGATAAATGTAGTCAGTGTCTGCTGATGAGTTAGTTCTTCTTTGTTGAGCCATCTGCTTCGCCAGAGGTTGTTTGGTTTCCCTAATTTTTAAATCATAGCAATCCTCCTGGCACTTAACAGTGTACACTACATTACTCTGTTTGTGTCTGGGGACTTGATCCTTGGGGTGGACTAATTTTTGGTGCAGCGAAAAATGGGTCCATTTACTTACTTGGATTGAGCATGCACCAAGACATCTGAGGGACTTCTCCAGTCTCAAAAATTGCATTCACATGAAGCCAAGAAAATATGTAGCTAGAGGTTTATGAAGTGAAGGTTGCGCAAAGGGTGTCATGTCCGGGTAAATGTTAGATAGAAAGAATGTGTGAGACATTGTATAAAGTGTTTTGAATGCTCAAGTAGAACAGAAAAGTGCTATATAAGAACCAGACAATTTACTATTTACAGCATGCATATTATACAGAGCTGAGTCAGTGGTTGGTCTCATTGGATGGTCCATTGTCAGAGTCCTGCAGGCCTGTGTCACATGTTTGGATAAGGGCTGATGAAGTTCCAAGACTAGCTGATTCAGAGTCACTGATGACTGTGGCGTGCCTCTTGCCATTGTCTGCATCTCACCCCACTAAGTTACATCAGATGACTGCTGAGGTTTGACTTGCAGAGGGATTAGATGCGCTGATACTGGCCCGCTGCTCGCCTTTGTCCCCCAAAACAAACCGGGTGCTCCGTCACCCGGCCCAGCAGCTGCTGTTTGCTAATGCGAGCCTTTGTCCTGATGGGCGCTCTGCCTCAGGGGCCACCATCCGCTCGCTTTATTGTGCGAATAAGATGCATGCAAGGCAGATGTTTGTTTTCTCTTTAAAAACATTTACCCTGCTCTGTCCAGACACCTCTCCTCCTCACACCTGGTATCTGCACAGATTTACTTCGTGTACTCTCACACAGTGTTTTTGTTTCTCAGATTATAGCACAGTCAAGCCGTTCATTTCAAGTACAGCTTTCACACATTTAGTGCCATGTTGTTTAGTTTATTTGTTTCGTTTATACGGACAGAAAGGTTGTCCTTCTGTTGCCACTCGGTTCTCTTTTCATGTGGCCATAGACGTGGTTGTCATAGTGATGGTGTTATTGCAACAGGGATTGGTTATGTGTGAAAAACAGACTGTGATATGTGAGATGGAGTCATCTTGGAGTTGATTATTTTATTTATAGGCATGTAATTGCAAATAAGTGAAATGTGAGATTTGCACTTGTGTGTATCCCTTCAACTTCTTCATGCCTGTAATCAATAATCTAAAATGAAATGTTGCAGGTCTCAGTTCACTACTCACATTTTGAGTGTGACCACCTCTAAAGTTGGCCATGTTAACGTTTAAGTCTGCAGGGATTGACTCACTTTTGGAGACTTGTTTGCTTGTGCTGTTCTTTCTTTCTGTGTTTTCTCTTGTGCACCAGGTGGCTCATTTTTATATACAGCTACCAACATAGAAGTAGTTGGCCAGCTTTGCATGTTCTGTCTCAAGCACACTTCAGATTTACATTTCTGTTCTCATTTTATGACCTTTTATTGTTGTCATTCTTCCTTCTGCTCCACCTGTTGTTTTTTTCTAACCTTTATTATTCAGACCTGTAATATATTACTTGTTCTTGGTACTCTGAGCCCGAGGGTGGTTTATTTCAATATAAAGAAGGTGGCAGATGGAAGTTTACCAACCTCGGGTTTCCCGCTGGCTCTGTCTGCGTCGGCCACTATTGGCAGTCTGAGCAACAGTTTACAGCTCCACCTTTAATGAACTTTAATGTCTTTACCTTACAGACGTTTTGAATTGTTTTAGCCTAACTGTGTACTTTTCTACTTCCTCAGTCATGGTCATGCCACATTATCCTGAATCTCTGATATTCATGCATATTTATCAAACTCACCGAGAGACAGATGGCTTGAATGGTCTCTTATAAAGTTCAGTTGGTAGATTTTTAGCCACAGAATTAATCCTGGTTTAGCTGTGTCAGTACCCTCTGTGAAAACATGAAAAACAAATTAGTATTAAAATCTATGTTCTCTCAAGTAGTTCTGGATTTGAGAGCTACCCATCAAGCCTGGTTTATTTTCAATTTTTTAGTCCCTTAAATAGATTTTTTCAAACATGTGAACTCATAACTAAATATCATATCAAACATCACTCATAAGTAAATATGAAACAAGAAGAGGAAAATTATTAATTCTGTGAATTAAGAGAAATAAAATGAAACAGAAGTTTCAAGAAAGACTGCAAAGCAGAAAAAGTATCTAGAGAAAAATACATTTTAATCAAGCTTGAATATTATTAGTTTTGGTAGTTAATTATTTGGGCAATTTCTACAGTTTCCAATGCTGGTTCTTTGTGAGTGTACCTGTCACTGCATCCAGCTGTTTGTAAAAGCTGGAAGAGGAGAAGAGAGGATGGTGAGAGGAGGGGACGGGCGGTCTGTGGAGAAGGCAGGGAGGGGAGGGGTGGTGGGTTAGCGCTTGCTAGCAGATGAGCCACCATCATGGAGTAGTCTCCTCACCAGCCTGTAAGTACCTCTCACCCTGATCTGGAGACTTCATCACGCCCCGTCCGACCTGGCGCGTGAGGCTGGAAAAGCGGACGGGTGAAAGGGTGGGGGAGCAGATTGGGTGTTTTGTTATGATAAGGAGACGAAGGTTGAGGAGCAAAGGGGGATGGGCTGAGCTTTGTTGATGCAGGCACGTAGGCAGGCAGGCAGGCAGACACACACCGAGTCTTTCAGAGCTAATTCAGTTTAGCTTGGGCTTGCCTCGTGCGGGTTTACATTCAAATAAAAGGTTGGACAGCAGATGTGTATTTTTGTGAGGGTATGCAGCGGCATGTTTTTGGTGGTGTTCTCCGCTCCTCTGTCTAGTGCAACATCATCACATATGGTACAGATGTGCAGCCCAGAGCTCACACCTGCACAGAGACACATAAAAACAAACATGCATCATCAGCTAAATATGGAGCAGGGGAACCCCTGTTCTATCTCTGCTACTGGGGCAGCAACAGCATCCAACATTCCCAGTCTGTGTCTGTATGCAAAGCAGAAAACTTGGTGGGCTCAATGCAGCTTGTTGCTGCATCAGACTCATTGTTGCATCATTGAGCTGTACTGCCTTGTATGCACAGTGGGCGCATTGATTAGTACATGACACACAGCTACACTTTTTTATTGTAGTTCTGGACGACATTACTGCTACTTTCAATGAAATCAGTGGACATAAATGACCCTGGAGAGACAAATCTAATAGACTGTTAAGGGCAACCTAGAGAAAAGCAAACAAACAGCATCCTAGCTCGCTCTGAAGATCCACTTTAACTTCACAGGAGGCTTCTTCATGTGAATAAGGAGTTTTTTCTTCCCACTGTTGCCAAGCGCCTCCTCCTAGGGGGCCGTCTGATTGTTGGGCTTTCTGTATTACAGTGTTTATTGCTATATGGATAAAAATGAATAAATTGAATTAAGTCCCATCATAATAACTTACAAAATTTGAAGTTAGACAATTGTTGAAAAATTGTGTTAATAATTAATGTATTTTTTTAACCCAATTAAAAAATAAAAAACATTACAAATGTGATTAATTAAAGAGCAAAGATCCAGATGTGAGGTATAAATCATTTAAAACATTTATTGAGGTAAGCTAAGGTTATATATTCATACATCTGCACTGACCAAGAATTGCCAAAAGATTCATGAGTGGGTGTATTGTAAGGAAATCAAAAGCATTCACAAAACCCAGAATAACCCAGAACACCAATCTATCACAGAAGTGATGTGAAACGACGTTCACAATGAAGTCTCATTGATCAGCTATACAATATTTTTTAGGCCACCTGATCCAACTTCATATCAAATGCAATAATCCAAATAACGTCTTAAAGTCCTCTAAACATTGTCCCCTCAACCTTAAAGCACAATGATAACCAGCAGTTAAGAGTGAACGGAGGAAAGAAAACTTCACCTGTAGCTTTGAGAAAGAGTTTCGAACTTGAAAATTAATAACGATACTTAAAATACTATAATAGTATAATAATCTATAACATTACTTTTATTTCACTAAAAGTTTTGGCATTCAGGTCGAAGTATAGCATAAATGGCAGAGGCTGTCGTTAGGCTCTAAAGGTGTTCCAAATGTTTCTTATTTTTGTGGCACCAAAGAAATGAAAGGCAGTGCATAATATTTTCAGCAAAAGGGAATAAGAAAAACCTTACTTACAGCAGATGAACGTCTGTATCCAACACGTACACAAAACTCCAAATGACTAATAATCCTTTAAGTGGTCAGTGATGTCAAACAGCTTAAGGTGGCAACAACCACAATGTCATTATGATTTCAGATTGTCTGCTTTTACTTGACAGCACAGTGAACACAGGAGTGATAAATAAACACTGCTCTTCACTGAGTTTTCCTTCTTGAGGTACTTGGAGCAGTTTGGTGTGTTTTTCCAGTAAGTTTTTGTTACTGAGAGACATGATCATTAAGAAACTTTCTCTGTCACACAGTTTGTGTGCTGAGTTTATTTTTTCAACTACAAAAATATCTTAACAAAAACTTGTTGGATAGTTGTCTTCATGTCATTCCCCAGTTTTTGTAACCCGCTGATGTCACTAAAAGTCATGTTGTTGTTTTTTTAATTTGGCGTTGAGCCGGTGTATCGAACAAATTCCAGGACCTTTGAGGACATTAGGTGCCCCATCCTTGCTATGGCTAAGATAGAAGCTGCAAAAACATATTTGTGTTAAGAGCAGTGACAGATCTATAATTAACAGACCACACTCTGGATGTGTGTAGAGTTCCATCCGAGCCTGCAATTTAGTGAATATTAAGATGTGGAATTTTTTACTTCTGGTCACATGACGTTGCTGAGTCACCTCTCTCCTCTCTGCGTGTGTTGTGGAATGAACCGATTTAGGTCACTGACCTGAGAGCTGTGCTGGAATGCAGCCGCTCTCTCAGACAACACGCAGCTCTCAGTCAGATGTAGGTCAGCTTGCAGCGTGGCTTATAATGGCTCCCGTTGTGTCATTTGTTGGAACAACAGCAGCGCTTCCCACACAAAGTTAAAACCTGCCACAGTGCTAATGTGTGACATAGGGCTGAACGTAGCATTCACAGTGGCAGGTTGATGGGTGTTTGCTCAGCATCCTTAGTGTCCTAATTCAGTTTTTTGTCTCCTCAAATTGCATGATGAAAACAAAACCTTGTGTTACACACTTGAGACAAACAGGAAAACAAATGCATGCATTATTTAAAGAGCTGGTGGATGTAAGACTTGCAGATTTTGACTTCAGATGCCTGAAGGTTTTGGAAATTGGTGCACAGGCTGCTGCTTACTAAAGCTGTTTACATGTATTATGTTCCTTTAAGCTATTTAACATACCTGTAGCTTTAGGCAGAGAGCCACAAATGGGGCACAGAAGTCAGAAACTGACTGGGGGAATTTTTTTTGAAGGTTTTTTACCCTTTCTGGTGATCTGTGACAAGCTAAACTCCAGTGACAACTGTTCTAATGTGATGCATCTTTCCTCGACAGGGTGAGGAAGCTGAAAGAGACGCTGGTGACGGTGCAGCAGCTTGATAAGAACATGAGCAACCTGCGGACGTGGCTGTCCCGTATTGAGACAGAGCTAGCCAAGCCGGTGGTCTACAGCACCTGCCACAGTGATGAGATTCAGAGGAAACTAGCTGAACAGCAGGTGGGCAAAGATGGAAGGACTTGTGTGAGATGCATTAACTTATGAAAGTGTGTATTTTTAAAGATTCAGTCAAAACCTACAAAGTCCTGCAAGACCAGGAAATTAAAGATCTAAAATTTCATTTCAAGATCTACATGAAGTACCTCTTAATAACTAATATAACCTCTAAGAAGAAGAGAACAGTTGGCACAATGCTGTGTGACAACTGGAGTGATTATTTCTTTGATTGTTTGGTATTTAAAGCCAATCGCCTCCCACAGCCATGTGAAAAAGGAAGATCTCATGAAAGGTGAGCAAATCACCTTTCATGGTTTCTTTGTGGAAGAAAAACGAGAGCTCTCTGTACAAATCTACTGAACTCGGACATCTTCAAGGTAAAAAAAGGAAAAAGGGGCACTTAAAGTGCTATTTTAGAAATGCACGAGGTAGAATTAGGACTCCATTGTGAGGGGAGACATTGCTTCTGGTTTTAAACCCTTTATGTTATGGCCACCCTGTGGTGGTCCAAAGCATACTAACATAAGAGTGAATAATGTGCGCTGCAAAGTAAAATCTCAGCAAGGCTCTGCTAAGAGAGGAGTTTGTGAAGGAGACAGCTGTCACGCTGGGCTGAGAGATGGTAAATGTGCTGAGAGGCAGAGCTCATGAGGAGGTCCAAAAAAAGGTAAATGGACTTTAGCCTGTTACTCCATTTGTCATCTGCCATATAGCAGTACTTTGGGAAATGGCTAAAAGTTCCAGGTCTTAGAGCAAAGATGGGTGGAAGGGTTCAGAGGGAGAAATATTGTTTTTATGTCTTGGGTAGAGTTGCCTGTTTGCCTCTCGGGTTTTGGAAAAATCTCATATAGATATGCACGTTTGATAGTACGGATGAGATCAGGTGACAGTGGTTGTTGGACCTGTGGTTCATTTTGCATTTTTTATCACTGGATTAAACATTTAAATGCACACGTATATAGCATTAAATGTGACAAATGGGCACATTCCCTTTAAACCCACAATGTGTTTATTCTTGTTTTAAAAAAGGGTTAGGGTACGTTGGTCAAAATATGTGAATTTGCTAAAGTCAGACCACATTATCAACAAGCACAGTACTGCTTTAAAAGAACAGAATAACTCCCAGACCTACCTTGATTAAATGCATGAATAGAATACAACCTAGTGTTTATTTATTTATAGTGTTTATTTTGTAAAAGAGTAAACACCAACCCTGCAGCACTTTTTGGCAGGGCTTTTTTAAATTGTTCATTCTGTATTCTGTCATGTATGCAATTTTTGGTTACTGTGAAGGTATGTAGGTACACGCGTTAAACAAATGCAAACAGAGAACGTAACATTGCATTTGAAACATTTTGAAAGTTTTTTACAAAAACCTTTAGATGTTAACAAGGGTCCCACCCCACCCATTAAGCAGGAGGTACATATACACACACACACACGCACGCATATATATTATTGTTTCCATTTTATATAACTTCAACTCTTTCAGCTTTACCACATTATTTTAGAAATAAGTACTAAAACTCAGTGATCAGCCTTTCCCTTAAGAGCTGGGCCCCACAAACTGGTTGACATGAGCCACTTTTTCTGTGAGAAACTCAACATTTTCTGAACTTTTGAAAGTGCTCTACTCTGCCTCAAGCATGTCAGCCTGAGTGCTCCTTACTTTTTTGGGGTCTAAAATGTGACTGACTGCTACGAAGTAACTGAACTTGTCAGGACTGCTAGTAACCCAAGAGTTTGGAGAATTTTCTTTCTTTTTTTATGTCTTTTTTTATGATGGATTTGGGGGTCAAAGCAAGCTCGGATGTGTTCATTTGACAGTGAAAGGGGTTCAATTGCACTAATTTCTTAAATCACTGAATATCTCTAGCTAATGATTTTTCTCCACTCAGAATTTTACAGATCTGTGCAGTTCAGGGGAAAAGATACACTTAGAATCTGCAAAACAAATTGGACTCCAGCTTTCTGTCTAAATCTGGACAGGGACGTGTCTGAAGAAATAGAGCTCATATCTGATGAAAGAAATGGTGGCAGTTGTAAAGGAGTGAAATGGAGACAGATGACAGGCAAAATGAAAGGAGACGAATTCGAATCGGCGTGGCGATGTGCAGAGCCTTAAAGAAATTGGACTTCTCCTGTTCCTCAGAAAAAGGCTGCAGGTCTCTCCATTAGCAGATGAGGGATGGCTGAAATGACTCCTGTGTGGATAGGCACTTTAAGCTTTCACTGGTCACCATGGCAACCTAGAGAGTGGTAACTTTGAACAAACAAGAGGCATAAAAAGTGGTGTCCAGCCCCAGTGAGGGAGCTCTCGCTGTCTCTCTCTCATGCTTACATACTCACACACACACACTCACACACACACACACACACACACACACACACACACACACACACACACACACACTCACGCACACACACACACACACAAACTCTGGGAAAAGGCAAAAATGAGGAAAAAACTAAGAACATAACACCAAGGGCCAAAACGAACAGCACCCAGGAATCATGCTGTGCTGTGTCTACAGATTGCAGGCCTCAAAACAAACCAGAAAAATACAGAGTTTGGGTTTTACTTTGTGATTTCTAGAAGAGGAGAAAGTTAAAGAAAAAGTTTTTTTGTCTTTTGTTTTTTCTGTGCCGGTTGGCATGCAGGATCTGCAACGGGACATCGAGCAGCACACAGAGAGCGTGGCCTCGGTGCTGACGCTGTGCGACGTCCTGCTCCACGATGCCGATGCCTGCGGCAGTGACTCGGAGAACGACTCGATCCAGCAGACCACCCTCAGCCTGGACCGCCGCTGGAGAAACATCTGTGCCATGTCCATGGAGAGGAGGATGAGGTGAGCAGCCAGGAAGGGTTGAAGATTGTGTACTGATTCTTTAGTTTACAGTGGTTGGGGGGGTCTTACACCTTCCAGAGCTCGGGCTACTGTGATTAGAAGTTAACATGTGCCTTTTCTGCCCTCAGAATTGAGGAAACGTGGCGTCTCTGGTGTAAGTTCCTCGATGACTACTCTCGCTTTGAACACTGGCTGAAGACGGCAGAACTGACAGCAGCCAGCCCCGACTCCGCCGACGTCCTCTACACCAGCGCCAAGGAGGAACTCAAGAAGTTTGAGGTCAGCAGATTATTTTGCTCTCTGTTTGGGTAGACCTAAATAATTGGGATTTCTGTGCATTCTGATATTAGCACTACAGGAAAAGCCAGGGGTATGTTAAAATGTAAAAAGGTCAGCTCATTCATTAAAAAAAGGAAAGGAAATTAAAAACTCCCTTTTGAAAAGAAGAAGCCGGTAGCACCAGGCAGCCACTTGCTGTGATGGGTGAGGGGTGAGGGAGACAGGACAGCATGAATGTCTGGTCCAGAGGGAAAAAGGTTCAGCAGCTGTTAAATAGCTGTTTTCAATTTTTGTTTTTCTTTCTAATTTTATATTTCCCTTGAATCAGCAGACACCAAAGACGCATCAAACACAGTTTTAAGTGCTCAGGTGTCCTGTTGCGCTGTGACTCACTGGTGACCTTTGGTGCGCTGGTCTAGATTAGAAGCACAGATTAGTCTGGTAATCTGGAATTTGCTGAAATGCCTTCATTTCTACAGCAACAGGGAACCAGTGTATATAGTGGTGTTTAAAAAATACCAGTGACCTACATTATGTATCCTGGCTGTCAGTGACATATTATGGACGCTGTGGAGTGTCATTATTAAAGATGGAAATCAGCTGTGGGTTGTATTTATAAAGAAAAGGTTATTTCACACAGTCTTATAACCAGTGCTCACATTTCTGTTGTGGAATCAACAAAATTTGCTTTAACAACTTTCTGTAAGTGACTAGTTGTTCTTTGTTTTCTGGGGATTTTTTCTTAACGTAATCTTCAACATGGCTATGTTAACAGATACATCAAAGCATGTGCACTCTATTAAAGCACGCGCTCCAGCTTGAAGTGTTCTTCTCATTGACACTCATGTGTGACTTTCAGGCGTTCCAGCGGCAGGTTCATGAGCGCCTGACTCAGCTGGAGCTGGTCAACAAACAGTACCGCCGTCTGGCCCGAGAGAACCGCACTGACGCCGCCAGCAAACTTAAGGTCATGGTCCACGAGGGGAACCAGCGGTGGGACAGCCTGCAGAGGAGGGTCGCTGCCGTGCTCCGCAGACTGAAGGTGAGAAAAGAGGTCGGAGGTCAGGACTGGCTGAAGGTACCTTAGGAAAGCTACTCTGTTAGAAGCAAGAGTGACTGTAAAATTAAAAAAATAAATAGATATACATACATATATATATTTATATATAAACAGAAATCAAACATTGTTGTGTTTCAGGCATTATCAGATGATCTGTGTAGTATCTCCCTGCTCCACGCTAAGCTGTCAGGATTTAGGTCACCTCTCAGACGGTGACAGGGCACATGGCATCATGTTGGCAGGGAGGCGTTTTCCTCGTGCCATGTGCTTCTGAACAGATGGAGATGTTTTTGTTGCTTGATGGAGATGCCTTGTAATCAAAGAATTCCGCTGCTTGGTGCCAATTGCCAATAAGGCACGTGCAGCGGCAAGAGCTCTCACAAAATCAGATTTTCTGCGACATTATGGGCTACATTAATGGGAAATGATTAATACAAAAAACACAAGTGTAGAGAGTCTGTAACCATAACTGTGCAGATGGGTTCTGTATCACCAGTTTCCATCACAGTAGTTGTTACTAAGGTTGGGCGATATGTACAGTTTTTCAAACCGACAATCGTTAGTCCAGTAAATAACGATATATTTGCACAGGTGACTTTTTGATGGGCGGAGCAATGTAATCATGCATGGACTGAGTTGCGCATTTAGAAGGAGGGAATATTTTACCTTCTTTTCTTGTTTGTTTCAGTATTAATATAGCTCTTTTTTGCATCATTCATTCATTTGTTTGAGATTCGCCAAATCACACAAAAGACTTCATGTCTGAGATTGTTTTTTAATGTTCGCTGGAAGAGACATTTTGATTTTTAATTTACTTTTTGTATAATTTTGTATTTGTTGTTTGGTTGAGTGTGTAAGTCAGATAAACACTGGAACAGCCTGTAAACACGGTTATAGTGGAAAAAAGAAGCCAGTTTCCCTTTCATTTCCTCCCCATCTCCCCACATAGGCTACTGCCTTTCTGTCTTTCTGTTAAGAGTAATTGAATTGAGTAATTGAATCACTGCATTTGGGCGCACTCTGAGGAGGGTGCGTTAGTTCGCAGATAGAAGAGGGTACCGTAAAAAAGGCTCTATTATTTTTTCTGTTGACTGCTTCTCTTAGCTTCAACATTATTAACAAACTTACTCATGGGCAAATAAATAAATAAATAAATCGCTCTTTTAAAAACGATTGGTGAAAGGCTCAGCCTATCAACAATCGCCCAACCTTATGTGACACTACACTTACACAGCAAGTTGATATCTGGATCACATAAGCCGGCAATATTTGTAGCACACAGTTTATGGCATCAAAGGAATATACTAAAAGTAATATTTCTGTCCTATTCAGTATTTTACGTCTCAAAGAGAAGACTTTGAGGGAACTCGTGAGGGGATCCTTGTTTGGCTGACTGAAATGGACCTTCAGCTCACCAATGTAGAGCACTTCTCAGAGAGCGATATCGAAGAGAAAATGAGAGAGCTAAACGTGAGTATTTCCCTACTGATGTTGCGCTGTAACATTATCCTGTTTACATATTGATGGACTGGCTGGGTCTCTCACTGGCTGAAATATTTTCATACCGTCGTGTCATTTACCTCTGCAGGGTTTTCAGCAGGAGATTACCCTGAACACCAACAAAATCGATGCCCTGATCGTATTTGGGGAGAACCTGATCCAGAAGAGTGCTCCTCTGGACGCTGTGCTTATTGAGGATGAGCTGGAGGAGCTCCACTCCTACTGCCAGGAGGTGTTTGGCAGAGTGGCTCGCTTCCATCACCGCCTAGTCAATAGACGTCCGGTTAGTAGTATAAATGACTCAGAAAAAATAAAAAGCTGGAGTTTTCTCAGACTGGCTGCACCTGTAAACTGCTGCTCTGAGAATGAATGGAATAAAAGCATTTGTTTTTGTTTCGTTTTTTTTAATCTGAGGACATGCTTGATTTTTTAAATATGTGTCTACCTCACAGACATTAACTTCAAGAGACATTTGTCATCTTATTTATCAGGGTTTTTTTTTTCCAACCTGCAGGTTCTGGAGGAGGAGGAGAGGGAGATGTCAGACCGAGACACAGACCGAGACGATTCACCCGATTTGACCCCGTCCTGGATGGCGGAGAGGAGAAGGAAGGAGGTGGATATAGCAGTGGGAGGAGTTTCAGGTGGACCACAGGTGATGTGCCACCTCCTGGTACCCCCTATAGAGCGATCAGGAAGAGAGACCCCCCTCAGTGTGGATTCCATCCCCCTAGAGTGGGATCACACAGTCGACGTGGGGGGGTCATCATCCCATGAGGACGACGAGGATGCCACCTTCTTCAGCGCTCTGTCAGGTTAGCTTCGTGTCAGGACTTTAGGCTCATGGGTTAAGTTATGTTATATAGCATTCTGTATTAATTCTTCAGATGAAAAAAGCTGAAAAAAAGACGTTTTTGATATTCCTGTAACACCTTTAACACCTTTGCAGATCTCCATATCCTCAGCTGTGAGACTTTAACCTCCACTGTTTCTTACAGACATGAAGGTCACAGAGAATTCAGAGTCGTTTTTTAAAGTGACTGCCAGTGCAGTGAAAGCAGCCTCGGGTAGGCGCTCTGCCTCCTGCATGTGTCTGCTTTGCTATGCATTTTTTTTCAACTAGCATCCTGCTTTCACCTTTTTTAATCTTTTCTCTTATTTCACCCCATTTCCACCATGAGTCACAAATGTGGCTGCGCACGGCCGCAAATTATCATTCACTTTGAAATGTTTGGTTTAGTTTGGTTAGCGATTGAAGATCATGAGACCTGCATGATACTGCAAGTCGGTTGTGTGTGTTTCTTCAATCCATTTGTGGTTTATTCATTTGGTTTATGCACGGTGAACCTTTTCATGCATGTGTCGGAGGGCTGGTGAAAGGAGCTGTCTTTCCATCATTATTCTTGTCACTGAAGTTTTTATTTTAAATTTAACAGTCACTGTTTTCTCCTCTCGGTCTCCTCAGTGACGTCAGTGACTGACATGCCGAGCTGGCATCTGCCTGGCTCCCCGGAGAGGAAACAGCTTCCTCGAGATATCATCCAAGCCCTGAGCTCTTTCCCTACACATACAACCGGCACTCCCTTCAATCAGCAGGGCTATGTACGTACAAACACACAATACTTATTGGGTCCAACGTCAGGTCCAAAATAAACACAATAGAAATGGTACACTATGATAGATTTTTGAAGACTTTTTATCATTCTTTCATATTTCTAAGAATAAAACACATAGGCATAAGAATGCAGAGTGCTTCCTTTTTTCTTTTTTTTTAACCAGTGTAATGACTCAAACTGATTGTGTGTGTATCTGTGTGTTCAGGCGAAGCTAATGTCAGAGTGCAGTGGCAGCATCGACAGCGTGAAGAGGGTCAAACTCATGCTGAACGATGAGGAGGAGCTGGAGGATGCAGGCCTGACCAGCAGCACGGCCAGCAAGCATACCAGCACGGGTACGCAGACAGAGATAACCGCAGGTGCGAGAGGTCTCACTCTGTTTGAAACATGTAACAGTAGGGATCATGCTGGAGGTCCTGAAGGCAAGTCGGAAAACACATTTTCAGAAAATCCACACACTAAAATACAGCACAAAAATTTACTAACATGGACTCAAACTCCAAATGTACCTTTGTTGATAATGGAGCAAGGAAATAGACCAGAGGCTGCCAAAGCTCTTGGGTCTGGCAGATCCACCTGAGACGTCTTTGAAAAAAAGCGGACATAAAAGGGGGATGGATAGTGGAGTACAGAAATTTTGAACAGATCCGTGTGTGTGGCAAGTAGCATTTATACACATACTCATCCCTCTTCCTTGTTTCCTCAGGTGTTATCGAGCGCTGGGAGCTGCTACAAGCACATAAAAACGCAGCGGACATCAAGCAGAACCTGGAACAGTGGCAGAAGCTTAACTCTGACCTGTCTGATGTCACTTCCTGGCTTGGCAGGGTCCTGCCAGAGCTGGAGAGGCTGAAGAGAATAGCACCGTCCACCAGCATCCGAGACATCGAGGTCAACATCAGGAAATTCAAGGTAACAACCAATCTGAGAGCAGGAGGACGTTCGCGGAAGTAAAATAGGCAAATAAAAAAGTGAAACCTTGGGATATTTTCCTAGGATGGGCATAACTGAAGTGTATACGCTGCTCAAAAAACATGAAAGGAACATTTAGAAAACAATCATGTTGGATGGCTGCATATATGGACTGACTAATGTGATAGGAACAAAAGGACGCCACATCATTTGATGGGGCCGAAAATTATAAACCTACAGAGGGGTTAATTCAAACGGACCGTGAAAATCAAAATGAAAAAATTACAAAGCACGCTAGTCCATTCTGCAGAAATTTCATTGCAGCAACTCAGAAATGCTACTCAACACTTTGCTTGGCCCCCATGTGCTTTTATGCATGCCTCATGGACGGTGTCCTGGGGGATTTCCTCCCAAATCTGGACACTCTGAGGTGTAACCTGGCAGCATTGGCTGAACCAAAACATAATGTCCAGGAGGTATTCTATTAAATTTAGGTGAGCGTCGAGGCCAGTCAGTGGTATAAATTACTTCATGCTCCAACTCCAAGGCTGGGGGAACCAAGGACTCACTGCACCAGTGTAGAGTCTGACATGGTGTTCATCCCAATACCTGGGAATCAAGGTGCTGTTGCCTGTTACAGGCAGCGTAATTTTCTTCTTGACTTCTTCAGACCATGTCACATGTGCTCAGGGTGGATCTGCTCTTGTGCGGTGCTGCTCATCTGTGAAAAGCACAGGGTGGGTTGCCAATTTTGGTATTCTATGGCAAATGCTGATGATTAGCTGATGGATTAAGGGCCTTCTATGGCTCTGTCCAGCTCTCCTAGTCTCCTGCCTGTCTCCTGGAAGCTCTTCCATACTCTTGAGACTGTGATGGGAGATACAGCAAACCTTCTGGCAATGTCACGTATTGATGTGCCGTCATAGAGGAGTTGGACTACCTGTGTAACCTCTGTAAGGTCCAGGTATCTCCTGATGCTAACAGCAATGACACTCACCTTAGCCAAATTCAAAACTACTGAAAAAACAGTCCGAAAAGATCAGAGTGCACCTTTTTTAAATTTCATTAACACCAAAGTAGCTGAAACTGATTAACAACCTCCTCTGCTACTTAACTGCCCAGATCATATCCCAAAAGTTTAACTGACTTGCTGCTGATTAGATTGAGTAGACTATATACTTCAGATCAAACCACATCTAAAGTGACATTGTTTCTCCTCCTGCTCTCCTCTTCCTTATTAAAAAAATAAATAAATAAATTAGGTAATATTTGATTTTTCCTGTGCTAACTTCAATTTTATTGGATTATAAGCTAATATTATTGAATATATAACATGTTAAAGATTTATGTTTTTTCATGATGAACTTATTGTCAATTATCTTTTAAAGAAGTGTTAATTTATTCAGCGTGGATAAAGACAAGATTAGAGGAAAAATCTTATAGATGTGTTAACAAAAAGAGCTGTTTTTGGTGAGAAATTAGGATTCCAGCAGTTGCATGGTGAGAGCTCTGCTCTTTGTTTTGTTTTTTTTCCTGATTTAGATGTTAAAAAAAATCTTCCATTTTAAATGACATTGACAAGACTGGAAATAACGTGTGAAGACTGAAAGCAGATGAGTTGTCATGTCATTTGTCCTACTGAAGAGAATGGGCTGGAGGATGTTCATTTATTTTGTATCATTTAACTCCAATTTTAGCAGGATTATATCAAATAAAACTGCATGCAGCCTTTCCTTGTGCTCACTCCATCCAACTTTACTTTTTCTTCTGATTAACAACCGTTTGGGGAAATACAAGTCACAATGCAGAATAATCAAAGTCAAATGAAAGGAATGTCAGCACAGTAGATTTTGGAACACTTCATCTGTCGTTTGTCTAAAATTAATGTTTTGGGGGGGTTTCTGCTAAGGAGATGCAGAAGATTTTCAACAGCTACAAGTGTCTGATGATCTCCATCAACCTGAGCAGCCGTCACTTCCTGCGCGACGACAGCACCGAGCTGCACGAGCAGCAGGAGGCCCTGGACTCAGCCAATCACAGCTGGACTCAGGCCTGCAGCGGCCTGGAGAGCTGGGAGAGGAGCCTGCACTCTGCTGTCATGCAGTGTCAGGTCAGACATGGAGACACCTCCTGAACGTTTACCCCATAGAGTTCAAAATAGTAGGAGTGATTCACAAAATGTGATTTGACCTGAATTGCTCTCCTGTTATTCAGGAATTTCACGAGACGCTACACTCGCTGCTGCTGTGGCTCGCTCAGGCTGAGGACAAACTCCGCACAGTGAACGTCAACGACCGCTCGCACTCTGCACTCCTGCAGCACAGAGACACGCTCACAGTGAGACAAACTATAGTCTTTTTAGTCTTGCCTTATTTTTGCACTAACATCATGTTGACTCTAATAGTCTGGATCTGACAAATATTCACTAAAATTTGTAGATATGGTTGCTGCAATTTCATAGTTGTTTTATACAGGAGACACCTATTCACCTACTCACACGCTGTCAAAACATGACATTCTTCCTGATTGGCATAATAGGTTAAATATACTTGAATGTTTTATGGAAAGCTGCAGTGATTGGTGTAAGTAACACAGAGCCTGTGGAGTCTCAGCTGATGTCTTAATACTGCCCTCTCTGTCGCCACCTGCTGCAGGCTCTGCAGGAGGAGCTGCGTGGCCGGCAACGGCGGGTTTCATCACTGCAGGCAATCTCCTCCCAACTTCTCCTGGAGGCCACTGGAGAGGACAGTGTAGAGGCCAAAGAGAAGGTCCACGTCATCAGCAACAAGCTGCATCTCCTGCTACGGCAGGTGGCTGCAGACCTGCGTACACTGCAGGGAACACTGGTAGGTCCATCTTCCTCTCAAAATCTCTGTCATGATATAAAGCAGCGGTGTCAAATAAAAGTCCTAAAGACCAGAAATGGCCTGGCAAAGAATCCAATTGGACCCACAGACACATGAAGGACTGCAGAGAGTTTGACATTTTACCTGTATTGTCATAAATTTCACTACTTTTCCTTTTCCTATTGGTTAAACCTCCCATTACCATAGAAACAAGGACAATGAAAGATTTTCTTTCACTTGTCCAGCTGTATGTGGCCCACAATGTAACTTGATATAGAGCTATAGTTTATGTGGCTGTGCAAAAACCATAAAAAAAAAATCTGTTTTTCTGTTTGTGAACATTGTTAAATGTTAAAAGTCAAATACAGTTAGGCCCATAAATATTTGGACAGAGACAAGCTTTTTGTAATATTGGCGCTGTACAATAATTAAATTTGATGCAGTTTTAAATGAAACAACTCAACAACAAAGTCTGAAGTGCAAACTTTCAGCTTTAATTCGGTGGGTTGAACAAAAAGATTAAAATGTGAGGAACTAAAGCATTTTTAACACAATCCCTTCATTTCAGCGGTTTAAAAGTAATCTGACAAATGAAATGCCTGAAAATAAATGTCCATATCTAATACTTAGTTGAAAACCCTTTGCTGGCTGTAAATAAAACTATGATCCGAAGGTGCACCTGCAGATTTTTCTGCCTTCTAGCTCATTGTTGCAGCTTTTAAACTCAGCTATGAGGATAGCACTTTATGGGTCTGCAGCTTCTAAATGATCCCTTCCAAGATGTTTCCCAGAAAAAGACTGTAATTTAGAACGATTCATGCAGGAAAAAGAGCCGGTGTTGAGTTGATCCACTTCCATTAAATTATTTTTGAGTGTAATTCAGATCATATTTTGGTGCACAGCAGTCCAGCTGTAGAGTGGGAATTTCTGGCATGTACTTGCAAGGAGCAAGGGAGAAAACAAACCACCATTCAAGGGTCAATCATTCAAATATATATAAGTCATTTATGTATTATTGGGTCTACCTTACAATATAAAGCGCCTGAGGTGACTGTTGTTGTGATTTGGCGAAATTGAATTGAAAAGTGCATGCTCTAATAGCAGTGCCTTTAAACGTGAGTTTTGCCCTCACTGAACTCTGCACTCACATCTGTTCAAACACAAATCTGGGGGAAATGCAAAAATGTGCAGCCGTTTGCTGCTCAACATTTCTCAAAGCCGATCATCTGTCAATGCTCTGAACTCGTGACTTAGAGCTGGTTTGATGAGTCTTGTCTCAATGTCTCAGGAAACCTGCTCCACCAGTTCTGAAGTAGAAAGCATTGGTCTGGGAAAGCTCAGCTCACTGCTTCTGCAACAGGTACACCTTGGTGTTTTACCTTTAATTTAGACTGTTCAGAAGCTGCATTAAAATAGAGTAAAATTGAACATGTATCTCAGAACATGATCATTTTAGCAGTGTGATATGTTAAATGCTCAGTAAATAAATAAGTAAAATTCATCCACTGAACATTCACCATATTAATAACTGTATTTTTCACTGCATACTCTCCACATTTGAACCAGTCTAGAGTACATTTGGTACACAGGAACATTTTGGTAATTTGGCCAGCAGGGGTGCCACGGACACAGCCACACACAGAGTTACTTTTTTTCTATTTTTAATCTGTTCTGAAAATGTTACTTGTAACACAAAATGTGTTACTGTGTTTAATAAGCTTGACATGCTTTTTATACATGTTAGGTTTAACATTCTTATTAATGCAAAATATCAAAATAGTAAATTTACTCAAGTGTTTAGACTGAGCAATTTTTAGCTACACTGATAACATGCACACATTCACCTGGCATGCTGGTAGTGTGGATGTTTGATTTCATCTCAAAGTACATTTGAGGCAAAAGTCTTTGTGATGTGTTACACATTAAGTCCAAATTTCCCAGTTCCCAATTAGAATTTTCACCTGGGTTTCCCCTCAACTCGGACTTCCAGCTCGGAAAGTCAGAACAGCCCAACAAACCCTGACTTTACAATGAGAGTAAACAGTAGTAAAACTGTAAAACTTGTAAACTGCACAGTCACTGTTGTGTATTTGTGACTCATTAGACACGCTGGTCACAATAAACAAAAACAAGTATTGCTCTGTTTTGCTTGTGATTAATGTTAACTTGCTAACAAGCAAAGAAAATCCTGATTTTCCTCGAGGGCGGAATATCTTTTGGAGGAATGGCATATTTCCCTCCAGCAGAATTCCAGAAACTTGTACTGACAAGCATTTATTAGATATCGTTCTCCTCCACAGCGTGTCTATTGTCCTGTCTTTCTTCCCTCACTCCAAACCGCTCGGGGCAGATGGCCCCGCCCCTGCCTGAGCCTGGCTCTGCCAGAGCTTTCTTCCTGTTAAAAGGGAGTTTTTCCTTCCTACTTTCTTGGTCATAGGGGTCATCTGATTGTAGGGTCTTACCCTACAATCACAGATACCTTGTGGCATTTCTTGTTGGGGTTTGGCACCATAAAAATAAATTAAATTGATCTCGGGAGTGGCGTTACTCCTTACCAATACTATTTAAATGCCAGTTGGACTCCACAGTGCTGGGCAGTGAGCAAAGAGCACAGAGCCTACTGAAGGTCATTTGTTGTATGTTCAGGATCACTCCTGAACTTACAACTTCCAGGGAACACAATATTCAAACTGGAACCTGTTTTTTTTTTTTTTTAACATTTATATGAGACCATAATACATTTAATCCTCTGAAACAGACTTATTGGGGGGAAAGTCAAAAATTGCTATCTGGGTTTTTTGGAGGGTTTTTTTCTAAACATATTCTGATTGCCTAGCTTTTAGGTTTAGTTAGGGTTGGGGTCTTCACCAAAGATGTCTTGGAGTTTTAAAGCAGGGGTGTCAAACATACGCCCCGTGGGATAATTTCATATGTCAGTTATCAGTGGCCCATCGGTATTTAGGACAGCAGCACTAGTGGTACATGCCAGGTACACAGACAGACTGGGAGCCCGATTTAAATGCAAGTGAGTCGGAAAAACACAAAGAAAGGAGTGAAAACATAAACTGAGCAGCATCTGGCTGCATTTCAATGATATGGGAGTCTACAAAGCAGAGTGCAGAATTTATAATAACTAAACTAGGAGCTGGATAAAGTCAGACCCGTTTTAATTTTCAGCAATTTTCGGTTGTGCAGGACAAAAGGTTTCAAACTTGTCCTTGTTTCCCCAGTGGTAGTAAATCTGTAAAAAAAAAAAAAGCTGCCTAGAAAAAGACTAAAGTTACAGTTCAGTACTGTATATTACATAAAAAAGACTATATATAAAGTGTCCTTGAAAAGCAGAGATGCTGAAATGTGTGCTTGTAACACAGAGCCATGGATCAGTGTCTAAATGAGTCTCTCAGATCTGAATGTGCGCTTGAAGCCGTTTAGAATAACTAGTTTTATGTGCTGCTCACCACAACAAACACAAGCATAAATTTTGAACTTTTTACTGCATTTTCATAAGTTTTACAGCTGTTCCTATTGATAAAAACCTCCCTTATGGCCATTCATACTACACAAAGTAATTAAGCAATAAACAATTAACGTGTTGACCCCCAGTGCCCCCCATACCAGAGGCAAGAAGGAGAAGATCTGGTTTAATGGGATGTACTGTGAGATCTGTTATTTAAATGTAGACATGTGTGGTATCGACAGAAACGTCACAATCTCAGCTAAAAGCTCACAAAACCATTTCAACAACCACTGAACCAAACACAAAGCGGCAATTGTTTAGCCCGTGGCACATACACGAACATGCTGTTGGGTGCTGAAAGCCGACATCTCTCAGATTCCAAAACTCCCTGACTCAAAAGATGTTTGGAAAAAATTGTCATGAATTTTGTCTTACCTTCACTGTTTTGCTTCCACCGCGATAAAGTCACACTTCCTGCACAGATATCTCTCCCAGTGTGCTTCGAGACCAGTTTCCTATGAAAAATCTCTATTTTCTGCAAAAATTCTGCAAAATTCACTTTCTTATTACACACCATTCTACCATTGTGTAGTGTTGTCAGCCGCTGTCCAAGTGATAAACACATGTGCTTTTTTTCTTTGATTCAGGAGGAGGCTGGTCTGCAGGCAGCTCCGGTCAGACAATCAGCAACCAAAAGGTACCTTTTTATTTAATTAGAGTCAGAGTTAAATGAACCTTAAATCAGTCTCTATTCTAAAAAAAAAATAAATTAAAAACTACAATCTTAGATCTCAAAGTGCAAAACGGCTGTTTACATTGCGGATTTGAGAATACAAAAATAAAGATGTTGTTCTTGACTTTTGTTCTGTTTGGTGAACAACATAAACATCTCTTTACCCTCTCAACATTTATCCACTTGCAGGGAGGAGAGACAGGACTCTTCCCCACAGCGACCCCTCTTCTACCGGGTTCTGCGAGCTGCTTTCCCCTTGCACCTGCTCTTCTTCATGCTCCTGGTTCTGGCCTGCCTGGTGCCTCTCTCTGAAGAGAACTACAGCTGTACACTGACCAACAACTTTGCCCGATCTTTCTACCCCATGCTGCACTACACCAACGGCCCCCCACCCACATGATCACTGCCACACTTTGTGTCCATGTTCTCCTTATAAAGGGATAGTAGAAAAAAAACAAAAAACAGCCATATATTGCAGGTAAAAATCCCAAATAGACACCGTTAACAATGTGACGGGTCATGTACCTGCTCCCTCCCATACAAAAATGAAGCACAGTTCTTCATGTCTGAAGGAATCATGTGTTCTTCACTCTAAACTTTATTGCTGTACTAAATTATTTATTTATTTATGCTCCTTAACAAGAAGCCATATTACTGCTGTGTTTAAGTTGTGATTTTTAGATTGTAGATTTGCCAGCTGATTTCCCCGCTGAAACAATTTCACACTTTTCAGATTCAGACGGTGCAAAAGGAAAAAAGGCTCCACGATTTATTTTGATATCTTCTATTTTGTATAGTGCGGTATGAGGGATTTGAGGGCGGTTATTACCAAAGCAACTGAAGAAATGTGAGGAGTACACCAGCCATTTTCTACCACTGCAGCTATTTGTACCGATTTTGTTTGTTTAGGGGGTTTCTTTAGGTTCGGGGGCACTTGTTAAAAGCACATTTTGTACAGAAAGGAAAAGACACGTGTTCTTTTTCTTATTTGGGTTTTGAAATATTTAAAATAGGAATTGTAAGAGTTTTTTTCTTGTAAATAATGGCAGGGACTCCTTAGCAGACATGCCTTTGTGTATCCAACAGAACAACCATTCTTTTAACTCATAATGTTCTTTTAATGTTATAAATGAATCTTGTATATAATGGAAAACTACTGAGAAAAAAAGGGTAAATTGTTGCTTTCAACTGTGCTATTTAGCTGGGTTGTAATTTAAAAACTCTTAAGTTGATATATTGAAAATTTGATAAACAAACTTTTAAGAGTCAGTGTGATGAATATTTTCCTATGATATACGTGTGATATTTTAGCCGATCACTCAACCTAAGAGTCACCTTGATGCAGCTGTGGTTGCTTTTTCCAGACAAAGTTGCACATTAACCAGCTAGCAGCTAACTTTGTTCACCTGCAGTTTGGCACTTTTTGCCTAAAAGAACGAGCTGTAGGTTCACAGGTAGTTGGTGGGCTAGCCAGCAATGCATATATACTTAATTCATCCTCTCAGGTGTCCCGTAGCTCAGACAGATAATTAAAATTGTTATACTAAACAATATAAATGAATATAAAAATCTAACAGCTGTAGGAACAAATTCTCTTCCAAAGGTAACTGCCATTTTTACTTCTAAAATATTAGGGAGCGGGTAAATATTATTGTCAAATTTGCTCATGACACTTTCCTCACAAAGTCGATGTGCAGCTTTACAACAACAACAGCCCCCAAAGGCTAAAAACACAATTCATCTACAGACCTGGTAGTTGACTGTGGTTTTGGCCCTATATGTGACTTTTTGTTTTATGTAACCTCACCCATGTATTATGAAAGGGAATTTTATATTTATTTTGAGCTGTATTTATCATAAATTGTACAGCTTTTTTTTTGAGGTTTTAAACTTGAGCAGGGCTATCCAACTCGACCAATGACACGAACGTCTGCAACGATCACCCGTTATTACGTACACATGAGATTTTTCTGAATTGTTTTTGTTCCAGTGCAGATGAACAGCGCGTCTCAAGAGCCACACGGCACAATTTGAGTTGAACTTGAATGTAAGAAATCGTTTGAGAGGTGAATGTAGCTGTGTCCATGCACAATCAAAGATCATTAAATGTGTGTAATTTACTGTTAAAGTTACTGATAAATGTTATAAAGAAGATTCTATGAGCAATTCAAAACTGTAGATAATTTCAGCCTCGGCACAAAAGCCTCACAGAACAGAAACAACAAAAGGTGTGTAAAGTTTGATTTATTTTGTGATCTCTTATTTATGGGATGTACTGTTTGTAATTTTGAACTGACAATAAACCATGTTTGCCACGATGTGCTGCTGCTGCTGGTTGTGAGTTCACAGAAAAGACAGGCGAAAAAATCCACAAGATCTGACATGAGTGTGTGCGGCGTGCACAGACTGCCAAGAGAAACAGCTTCAGCATCAGATTTGGGTGTGTGTTCATGTGCGCACAATCCACAAACATCAGGAAATAAAGCAGAGTGAACATATATTCGTCTATTAACAGTGGTTAAATAATCTGGCACTAAGGTTAAATTTACACTGGCACACAAGTGGCACATTTTATGACTTAGGAATGAGTACATGGTGCATTTATTTGCTTTTAGTTTGCTTTGTGTGATGGAAAATAAGCTGTTTGCAGTTTTGATATTCCAAGTAACAGGCTGTTCTCTCAAGTCTTATGTGGTTAATGAGATCATAAAGCAAAGAAGACACGCAAATGAGCCCTTAAGGGTTTATATGTACAAGAAGCTGAATAGTTTTAAAGGAAAATATCAACAGCCAACAGTTTCTCAACCTTGAAAACAGAGCGATTCTGGACTGATGCCAAAGCTCAATTTGTCTACATGAGAAGTTACAGCTAAGAACATGGATAAATCTGCAACGTGCAACAAACACATTTCTCTTTTTTTTGGTGTCTTACTGTTACGCTGCTGACATACAGTGCTAAGTCATTTAATTAAGCTTTATTTATACAGTGCCAAATGACAACAACCGTTCCCTGAAGTTGCATTATACTGTAAAGACCCTACAACCTACAACAATACAAAGACTCCCTATGGGCAAGCAGTTGGCAACAGTGGGAAGGAAAAGCTCCCAGGTTCTGACAGGAGGAGCCAACACCCATGTACCATACACATCTACATTATTTTTAATGACCAGCAGGGGGCAATCTGCCTGGCTACACAACGACTTTACATCTGTCAAGAACTGCTTACTCTGTGACTTAAATAAACACTATGGGCTCAGGCAGTAGTTTAAAATTCATAATGAAAAAGGTAGTAAATTTTCTCAATTCTGGGCATTTTTTAAAAGGAGGATTATCTAAGATATTTATGTCATTTTCATAGTTAAAACGAGTTAGACTTTTCTTATCTCCAAATTTCTTTGTTACAGACAACAATGAAAACTCTTCACTCAAGGCTTCATCATGGGGGCTCACCAACCATCGGGTGATGTCACAGTGATCAGTGTTACCATTAGCATATTAGTAAAGCCAAGATCAGTAGCTTCAAGTGTGATAAACTTCAAGTGCTGAAATCAAGTATAAAAAAAACTAAGTTTCTGTTGTTGTAAAGTAATTTAATTTTGTGCATTTTAGCTTGTACAAACATATGGCTTAGGTATGGCTTGTTTAAGGCAGTCAGGCTGTTCCGATTCTAAATCTAACAGTCTGAGAAAAAGTTGCTAAAGCTCATTATATCAGATTAGATGTATTACTATGACTAAATTGTGAAATTTTCCTTTTTTCAAATTTTGCTGGTAGCCTTTGCAGAAGGGGTCTGTGCCACTGTTTACTGTATAAATTCAGCATTAGTTTAACCAGAGAAACAGAGAACAAGTTTAACAGTCGTTTTGGTAAAAGGCCACATACTGTTGATCGAATCCACAAACAGATAAGTACAAAGACTGTAGAAAATTCCTGCGTAAACAGGCACAGATTAAAACACCAAAGTGCACAGTAATAAAAGCAGAAAAAACACAATAGGGTGACAGAGAACAGCGTCCTTTTACGTCCTTGTACGACTAACAAATCTTACAGAAATGAACGTTGACTTGTTGGCCAAGTGCACCCTTATGAGTAAGTGGAGACGGTTTGTAGATGGCTTGTTCTGGATGTTACATCAAGGTGATAAAAAGAGATACAAATACTGTTTATCAAAAAAAACGCACACAGGCTGCCGGGCAGCCAGCCAGTGATGTCCTTATGAACAGCGATGGTAGTGCACATTCACAAGAAATATTTACGCACACAAAATATACATTCGATCAAAAAAAATTTTAAAGACTACAAAAATCTTGACAAGAGAAACTTTACCTCACAACAGCGCTTTCTGTTTTGTTTTTTTATGTTTTGTTTTTTCCCCAATCTTTGGGTGATGAATATCCACTAAGGTTTAGGCTCAGTCAGTTCTGTCACTCTCAAGCTGTTTCCGTGACAACTCTATCAGGGATGACGTAGGTTGTTGGCTCCACCGATGGACCTGGACCTGCATCCCTATTATCCAGTGATAGGTGCTCGGCAGAAATGTAACTGTGAGGGAAATTATTACAGTTATTTTCCAGAGGAAGGGAATGATTTGCTATTCTTAAGCACTCTGGACATGGAATAAAGTCAAAGTTCATTTTGGGAAGTTTGAGTACTGTGCACAAGTCTTGAAATACCCCTCGTTTTTTTAGACTTTTGCTACAAAAAAATGGAAATAGAAATAGACACATGGAAAGTATAAGTTCAGCACTCACCACTCAAAATCACTGAATTTAGGTGTTCCAATTACTTCCATGGCCACAGGTGTATAAAACCATGCTTAGGGGCATGCAGACTGTTTCTGCAAACATTTGTGAAAGAATGGGTCGTTCTCGGGAGCGCAGTGAATTCCAATGGTGAAATTTCCTCCCAACTAAATAATCCACAATCAACTGTTAGTGGTGTAATAATAATAATAAAAAAAGGAAGCTATTGGGAATGACAGCAACTCAGCCATGCAGTGGTAGGCAGCCATGCAAAATCATAGAGGTCACTGCAGAGGTCACCAACTTTCTGTAGAGTCGATCACTACAGACCTCAAAACTTCTCGTGACCATGATATTAGCTCAAAAACAGAGAGCTTCATGGAAGCTCTCTGTTTCCATCCGTCAAGCAGCTGCATCCCAGCCTGACATCACGCCAGGGTGGCTGTAGCTCAGGAGGCAGAGCAGGTCATCTAATGTTGGTTCCCTCTAGACTACATGCTAAGTATCCTTGGGCAAGATATTAACCCTAAGCTGCTCTCCAATGCGTCCATCAGATTGTGAATGTTAGTTAATAAGCACTTAAAGTCATAGAAGAAAGTGCTTGTGTGAATGGGTGAATGTGGCATGTTGTATTAAGTGCTCTGAGTACTCCGGGAGAGTAGAAAGCGCTATATAAGAATCAGTCCATTACCATTTACACCATGAAGCACAATGCAAAGTTTTAGATGCAAGGGTGTGAAGCACAGCAACACTGGACTCTAGAGCAGTGGCGACATGTTCTCTGGCAATCCAATGGCCGAGTTTGGTGTGGGGTTGCTTTTCAGTCTTTAGTTCCAGTGAAAGAAACTTTTAATGCGTCAGCAGACCAAAACATTCTGGACAATTTCTTAGTCCCAACTTTGTGGGAACAGTTTGGGGATGGGCCCTACACACCAGTGCACAAAGCATAAAGAAATGTATGAGCGAGTTTGGTGTGGAAGAGCTTGACTGGCCTGCACAGTCCGGACCTCAGCGTGATATAACACCTTTTATAGTTGGGCTGGCATTATATTAAAGCCTAAGGATTAAGAAGAGGATGTCACTCAAGTTCATATGTGTTTTAAAACAACAATCCAAAGGTGAGTACATTGCAATGGATGACATCCTGTGCAATAGTGTTTATGTGCAAAAAGTTTTATTTTATTATGCTGGATGACTGTGTTCAGGTTCCAAGGCAGACAAGCAAATGCTTTGGGCAAAGTAGTGGATCAGAAGGACAGCTTTTAATGCTCAGATTCATAGGTTCATGGTGCTAAGTGGCTTAACCCGAGAAAACTAAAGCTGGGTGACTTTAACCCACATGAAAGTGATAGTGTTACAAAAGTGCACATTGGTGTTTTGGGGTTAATAACCAGAAAAACATTGCTCTGGAATAGTCAAGTTCAAGGACAGAATTGAAAATGAGAGAAGAAGCAGCCAAAGAAAGACCTTCAGAAAACCTGGAGAACTTTTGTTTGAGACAAATTTAAGAAATAACAAAAAACTCAAGCTCCTTGGAATCAAAACATGAAGAAATGAGGCTGGGTATTTTACCACAACTATGCAGACAATGTTTTTTGTACATTTTCTTGTTCTGTAACTGTTCTGTAATGTTATTTTGTACTTACTTGATGATATATGCATGTCTTTTTGGATTGTTATTATAACTTGTAGGCTTTTGTGTAACACTTGTAGGTCAAGCTGACTTGCCTTTTATTTTTCTTTTTCCTTCTGTCCATCATTACTGTGCTTCTTTCCTTTATTGCTGCATTTTTTCCTTTCTGTCTTCCTTCATAAAATCTTCTATCTCTTTCTCGACTTTTACCTTTTTCCTCATCTACCTTCCTTTTCTTCTCATTTGCCTCCTATCTTCCCTTTTTCTTGTCTTCTACTCATCCACCATCCCCCTGCCAGTAGCTTCTACCTACATTGTTTTGTTTTTTCCTTTTTCCTTCAGTTTATCCTCCCTTCTTATCCTCTGTTCCATCACCTTTCTTTGTTTCTAAACTTAACACGTCTGCTTTAAGTGCAGTAACAGAACTTACTCGTTGCTGTCCAAGTGAGACCCCGCTAAATTCTGTGATGGAGATGTAGACTGAAGGGTGAGCAGATGTCCGTCCAGGACCGGGACTTCCGCTGGAGGCACAGTGGTATTGTCAGCAGCTGTAGCCATCTGGTCCAGGCCTGGCTGCAGGTCAGACGGCGGTGGGGGGAACTGTTGCTGTTCAGAGTAAGTGTCACAGCCAGGCGAGGATGATGATGTTTGACTGCTGCTGCTGGCTGTGTTGGCATCCAGCATCTCCAGGAGGAGGTCGTACACCAGCACCGCATTCTTCCTCTTCATGGAGGACAGGTGGTCGATGCCTTTGTTACTGTAATGAGAGGGAACGTGACCATGAGCCCAAAAGAAAAGAAGAAAGGGAATTAAACAACTAAGGACCAGATCGCTCAAAGAAATGAAAAGCAGTTAGACTGTTAATATCTCAAATGAAACCTGATGTATATGGAACTCCAAAGTGTTCAAAATTAAATAAATAAATAGGACATGATGAAATAAATAACTATGTGAATAAATAAGACACAGATATGTAATGTGAGAATGGAACACATTTTGAAAAAAAAGCTCATTATTGTGAAATATATTGCATTCTGCTATATAAATTTACTTATTATTGTGAAATATTATTTCATGATCATTATTTTTCACAATAACAGAGATTATTCCTGAGGCATTTTATTTATTCCCAGCCGTTTTTAATCCAAAATGTCCTTCTTTCAAAGTCAGTCTTTATTTCAAAATCCCGTTTTTCCCAATGGCCTATTTATTTCATAATGCGACTTTTCAGCAGAATGACTTTGTCTGTCAATCAGCGTGAGTGGGCTTGACCTTTGCGCCTATTGGCTGATCGTTTACTATCGACTAGTTTTCCTGGATACCTGCTCCGCGGACGGCTGCTACACGTAGCAAAAACATGCTAGGTCAAAAGTCAGGGAGGATGGCTATGGGCTCAAAATGTGGTCATAAATATTTTGTACTTGTAAAAAAGATTTGTAGAGGAGAATAAAAGAGAGAGATTCTTGACGATTGCTCTGCTCTTGCTGAGGTTATGGTGGATTCCAAGATGATACTATCTGGTTCCTCTACCCCGCAGGACAGATTCCAGGCATCACTGTTGCTACAGGATGGGACCTCTGACCTTGCTGTTGTACTACGAGTCTGCCTAGCCTGACTTTCAGTAACAGACTGAGGTTCAGCACCACTCAATGAACTGTGAGAGGGATTGGCAGAGATTTCAGCATCCATCACCAATATATATAAAGTGGACTTACTTAGTTTCCACACTATATACTAAAATATATAGAAAATCAAAGATGTTCCTTACCTTGTGCATTTAGTGATGTGGTTTTTCATTTTATTTAAAGGAATGTTAATGTCACAATTCAGGCATTTTGTGGGGGGTCCTTGTTGCTGGAGGGTTGTCAGGCTCTACAGAGAATATGGAGATAAAAATATATATATACATTTGGTGCATACTGTGATAAAAAATATTTTGACAGTTCTGCAATCGCATTTGCCAACGTGAGAAGCAGAAACAAATTGTAAACACAAAATTACATATCTCCTTCTAAACCTTTTCTAACAATTGCTTACATACACATTAGAACCATTATTACTCATATGCAGTCATGTTTCTAACCAGCTGACAGCTAAAGTGATTTGACACATAGTCAGTGTTGGGGAGTAACGGAATACAACGTATTTAAAATACAAAATATGAGTAACTGTATTCCGTTACAGTTACCGTTTAAAAAGGTGGTATTCAGAATACAGTTACTTTGTTGAAATAAATGGATTACACGGCGGTACTTTCCTGTTTCATATTGGCGGGTCAGGACTGTTTGGGTTTTGTTTGACAGCTACGTTCTGTTGTTCCAGGCGGCAGCGTTACGGTTGCCATGGTTACAGGGTGACGCTCTCTCTCTGCGTGTTTCCTGGGTGAGAGAGCGCCTTTTTGTTGTTGTTGTTGTGCTAAGCTAATAGGCAGAATGCTACAGGTATGCTCTAAAGAATGTAGCATCATGGGCAGTGTAGTCCGTGCTGCAGGGAGAATGGACTGCCATACACGTTATGTGTCTGTGAGCGCGAGGAGGGAGAAAAAGGGAGGAAAGTACGAGCTGTCATCGAGCAAAACGGGAGCTGGAAGCATGTAAATATAATAATAACCACTGCAGCCAAGAAGAGAGCCTGACGAGCCCAGTTGTAAGTAAGCTATTAAGACTCGACTGTACACCGTGTTCGTGTTTTCCTCCGAAAACAATAAGTTCCGTTGGAGCAGCCTTTCAACGCCTCTCTCTGTCTCTCGCAAGCAAAGTTGACCCAGACAACAAAGTAAAGCTATTTTGGCTACGAGCCCGAGACAGAGACCCGACCGTATTAGCCAGAGGTCCCTTTACTACGGTTCGGAGCCCGGACCTTCAGTGAAGTAATAAATCACAGCAATAGTACATTCATCGTAGTTGTAAAAAGCATGATAACATATTAAGTAATCCAAAGTATTCAGAATACGTTACTCTCATCGAGTAACGTAACGGAATACGTTACAGAATACATTTTGGGGCATGTATTCTGTATCTGTAATGGAATACATTTTAAAAGTAACCTTCCCAACACTGCACATAGCTGAGCTTAGCTAGCCATTTGAACTAGTTTATTAATACATGCAAATAACATATTCTGACCCTAGTCATTACTCAT